TTGGTTCGTCTGCTTACAAGTAAAACTCACGATTAAATTCAAGTTGCAGCGGCGGCGGCGGCTTCTAGCTTCGCCGAAGCGAAGGCGTCCTGGATCGCGGAGAATCCTCGGGGCTCCGGAGGAGTTCTCGCCTACATCGTCCATATAGGACGACTCGGGAACTCAACTCCTACCCCGGGCAGCTCACCGATCCCCTTATTCCCAGGGGAAAGGTATCAAGCCGTTTGACAGCAGATGCTGGCTGTCAAACCGGCTTTTACGCAAAACAGGCGGGAGGCAGCAAACAGCTGCGACCAGCGAAATCGCCTGCCACCGGAAGTCATTCTCTAGGCCAGCATCTTAATCACTGCACCAAACATGTACCAAATTTTTATCATACAAATGATACCACTTAATGCATAGTTTTTCATGTTCGTGTGAAAAGTATGGAAATTAATTAGTCTTTTAAAAATAAATTTATATATACTGTTTGATTTGAGATATTTTGTTAGAACGTGTTTTTGACCAGTTTTTCTTGGTTTTGCCCTTGAATTCTCCATAGCAAAGCAAAGTTGTAAACGTAAACATTTTTTAAAAATCCTTATGAACCTCTTTCAGATGTGTCCCTTTTTCAGATTGGTCTTTTATTTTTTTTCCATGAAAAAACTTTTCATTCCCAGCCATGTGAGTGTGCCTTGTTATACAATTTGGGAAAAAAGCTCAGGAGAACAAAACTTTTCTCAAATGTTGCTTCTTTTATTCAGTCCCATGCTCCATTCCTGAAAAGCTTTTAGGTTTCTTTTTAATGCAGATTTGGGCTCCCTTTCAACTTTTGGATCATTTGGCCCAAAGACCTCCTTGTGAAGTGGGGTGTTTAGACCTCCATCTTAGTCTTTTCTTGTTGTAAGATTGGGAAACAGAGTAGTTTTGCATTGCAAGATTATTTTCAATGAATATGGGAAATTTAGAAATCTACACCCTTGAATATCATTTGGGAGAAGAATATGACATTTACAATAAATATATGGAGAATCCTGAATTACTGGAAACGTTTGCTAAATAATTCATTTTAAGAGCATCAAATGTGGAGAACCAAGAACTGATATAAGGCTATAAAGGGAATTTCTGGATGTATTGCTCTGGGAAATGTTCTCAGAGGATTAGGTGGGAGTGTTTTACTAAGTACTTTCTCCCTAATGAAGTATAGAAAGTCCTCTACTTACGACCAGTTGTTTAATGGCAAAATATGCCCATTTGGGAGATTGTATGCAGACTTATGACCGCAAGATATGCTTAATCTAATTGCCATTAAAAAATGGTCGAAAAAGTAGGTCGTGTGGTGCCTTGACTTACAATCGCAATGACTTAATGACCAAAATTCAGGTCACACTTATGGCAGTAAGTTGAGGACTACCTGTAATAAACCCACAAACTGTTCAGTAGGTTTTTAACAGTATTTAGCCATATTGTGCGTAGTGTGGAAAAGTGATGTGTATTGCTATATTTCCATTAGTCAGATGATTAACTAATCTGTTTGAAAGATTTGATATGTAAAGACAAAGCATGATTCTACTAGTTTAGTTAATTAATAAATCTAGGAAAAAATACCCATAAGACAAAATAAAATATACTTGTGACTGGGCATGTGGCATAACATGTAACCATAGCTACAGAATCTACCAGTACTGAGCTTTTCCCAAAAAAACTGAACTCATAAACATCCTTTTAAACTGTACTCTTATATATGAAGTACAAAAATAATGAATTATGAGTGCCTTTCTATTTTTTTAACTGATGCGGAGTTATTCTTCTAATCACATATTTACTATAAGTTTGTTTAAAAGTTGATTCAATGTACTAAGGCCATTCTGGAATTCTAGCTCCCCAAAATTGAGAATAAAGTACAGGTTTCTGCCATTTTTAATCACATTTTAAGACTGACTACCTGAATTCCACAATATGGATTGAAATGACTAATTCTTCAAGTCAGTTGTGATTAACTAACTTGTCGTTACTGTAGGTTGTAGCTTATTTTGTCTAGGCATGAGATTCAGAAAAAAAAACCCCAATGTATTTTTATCTAGAAATAAGAAGAGTTACATTTGATGAGGTTTCCATCCTAGTTTATAGTCTAAGGATGCTAACTATCTTGGATTATGGTGATAAAGACACAACTAAAATATTTTTCTCTCTGTTTGTTTTAGGTTGCCGAACAGCCCCAGCAGATTTAGTTTTCATCTTGGATGGCTCCTATAGCGTTGGCCCAGAAAACTTTGAAATAATCAAAAGATGGCTGTTCAATATTACAAATAATTTTAACATAGGACCAAAATTTATTCAGGTTGGAGTAGTACAGTACAGTGATTATCCTGTACTTGAAATTCCTCTGGGCTTTTATGATTCCAATGAGAATCTAATCAGAGAAATGGCATATGTACAGTATTTGGGTGGAAATACAAAAACAGGCAAAGCCATTCAATTTGCAATGGACCATCTATTTGCTAAATCAGAAAGATTCCTTACAAGAATTGCAATTGTTCTAACTGATGGCAAGTCCCAAGATGAAGTCAAAGAGATTGCTGCTGAAGCCAGGAGAAATAGGATCACATTGTTTGCCATTGGTGTTGGTTCTGAAACCGAAGAGGATGAACTGAAAGCAATTGCCAACAAACCCGCTTCCACATACGTGTTCCACGTTGAAGATTATATGGCAATATCCAGAATAAGGGAAGTAATAAAGCAGAAACTCTGTGAAGGTAAATATTAATCATTCTTTGTAGAGCACTTCTGTTTTAAATGTATGAGGTCCTGTTGTGTACTAATATAACGTTTTAAGTATTAGGCTTAGGTGGGGTGACAGAAGATATCTAATAGGGACTATTCTCTTGCAGTTATACTAAAACAACCTGTATTTCAGTGACATAAATGTTGATTTCAATTTTTCAGCAAGCAAAAAATAAAGATATATCACAAATCAATTAAAAAAAACAACCATGTTCGGCTACAGTGATCTACATATTGAATATAATATGAAATTGGGTTAGCTGGCATAGAAATATCAAGAGCACCCACTGTGCTCTTTTGTCAAATATCATCATTCCCTAAAGCAATGAATTAACAGTACAGGTAATCCTTGACTTATGACCACAATTGAGCCCCAAATTGCGAGATAGTTGTTAAGGGAGTTTTGCCCCATTTTGCCCCTAACAACTATGACAACTTTCTTGTCATAGTTGTTAGGTGAATCACTGTAGTTGTTAAGTTAGTAATACTGTTGTTAAGTGAATCTGGCTTCCCCGTTGACATGCTTGTCAGAAGGACACAACAGGTGATCACATGATCCCGGGACACTGCAACTGTCATAAATATGAGTCAGTTGCCAAGTTGCATTTGAATTTTGATCATGTGACCATGGAGATGCTGCAACAGTCATAAGAGTGAAAAATAGTCATGTCACTTTTTCAGTGTCATTGTAACTTCAAATGGTCACTAAACGAACGTTGTAAGTTAAGGATTACTTGTAATCAAACATTTGGTTCAACATTTGTCTAACTGTTTAGGCAGCAGCCAAGACTGTTGCCTTGTTGAGAGTTGTTGATGTCTTTGGTTTGCCAATGTAAGTATGTGTAAAATTCATCAGATGTTGGCCTGCTCACTGAAGGACTGGGGATGTTACAATAAAAGGAAGAGGGCAAAAGGATGTGATTCCCTTTTGATTCTTCCAAAGGAAGGAATTTGATTCCTCCAAATTTACTCCTGAAGGGGAATATAGTGATATCTTCTCAGGCGTCTCAGTGATATAAGCAGAAGTGGTTGTATTTAGTTATCATTTGACAATTATTTTGCTTCTTTAGTAGCTTTGGAAAGAGATGTCAAGGGATTAAACCCGATGGAAGCTAATTGAATTACTTGGCTTGTGATTTTTGCAAAAAATAAATAGCAATTCCCAAATTACATTGTCTGTGTTTTTAAAAATCTAGTTATACAGTCATTTGTATGCCTGCTCTATTGATTACAGGTAGCTTATACCCCTACAAGAATAAAATTATGCATGAAACCACAATGATAAGCTGTGGTTAAACAGCATCACATTGGGTACAGTAGTCTCAATTAGATATTGTCAGCCTTGTGTAACATTCTCTTTCCAAAGGATCTGCAGAAAAGAATGATCCTAAATGCTGTGTTGAATGCCAACAAAGAATGGGTTATTCTAACCTGAGAAGGTGACTGGGAAGGATTGTGATCTCAGATGAGCTTCTGGAGCTGAAAAAATTCTCATAATCTTTCATGCTATACATCTTGTTCGTTCTTTCTGCTGTAGAGTCCAACTGATGAAAGCATGCTGATCTCTGGGGTAGAGATATGCAAAATATGATTCACTCTGGGCTCTGAATCCATTCCTGGTGCTGCAGAGACCAACCTCAGTGAACTAAATGATATAGCAATTGTTCTGGATCATTGTGAAATTAAACCTAATCCCTAGCATTCAAAATGTATTCTTTCTTATTTTTCAAAAACAATACATGCTGGGTGGGATCCAGAGTTTCCATTCTGTTCACGAAAGGAACCTGTTTCTGAATTGTAGACGGTATATAAGAAGTCTTTAAAGATTCCCTTGGAAATGCAGCATCTTTTAAAATGATTCTGGAGCAGTGCTATTGGCAAAAATAATCTCAAATGTACAGAAACAAATTTAAGATATAAAATTCAACCTGGAGGGTTCTCAGTATTTGCAGCTTGCATATATTTTTTAAAAAAGATAAACGGAACCATATGACCAGCTTAGATCTTGGTCAAAGTAAGTTCATTTTTCTCTTGTATTATTTCTTAAGAGAATGGTCCCCTGGTGATTAGTTTTAAGTGCATTGTTCTATATACTAATACAACTGTATCCTTCTTGCCAATACATTTATACTTTTAAGAAACCACAGAGGATGTAATCGTGAACCTCTATTTTGTATTTCTTGGTGGGCTGCGATAATAGCCATTTAAGGCAACTTTCTTTCCTCCAACTCTTTTGTTATGGCTTACATTCCTTTGAAAAGTGATATGGATATAGATGGTATTTAATTATTATTGTTATGGTTTTTCTTGAGAGACAGTCCATGAATAACAAGCATATAATTTGCCAGTCCCATTCTGTTTGTGTGTAGAAACTGTTTTCAGTTTCTTCCTTTAAAAAAAAAACCTTAGTGGAAACAAAATCCTCTTGCTTATTCTATTGTTTTAAAATATGTGTATGAACAAAGTCAAATATAAAAATATTTATATAACAATGAGGCAACATCCTTCACCTTGTCGACATTTGTTATAAAAACAAAGTTTTGCTTCTGAGGTTAAAAATCTTTGTATCATACAAGTAATACTGGTTGTAAGATGTCTTAATAGTGTACTTTGTCATTATAATAAGGCTTTGCACTCACATTTAAGTTTCAGCTAGTATTGGTTTACACATTACAGTATAAGTGATGTTTATGTTTCTTTTAGTTTGAAATTTTCCCCCCTTTTTGCTCTGGATCAGTCTCCAGAAATACTGAGAAAGTTGCCAAATGTGTGCAATTGTAATTGTTACAAGAAAGAATGAGGTTTATTAATGAAAATGTTTATTGTTTGATTAATTCCTATCTGGATACAGTTCATTTTAATTTTATTATTTGGTTGTTTCTTTGTTAATTATTTTTGTTTCATGTGATTGTATTCTGTGAATTTTGATCTTAATCATAAATAACTGGTAACCATTATTAGATGGCGAACTCATTTTCCAAGCTAATTCCAGAAAGTTCATAAAACATAAAATCATAAATGGTAAGGGTTGGAAGGGGCTTTGGTCCATCCCTCTTTCCAGTGCCAGCATCCATTGGAGATGACCATCCAGATTCTATTTAAACAGCTGCTATGAAGGAGAGGATACCACCAGCCAAAACAATTGGCTTTTTTGTTGAATAATTATTACAGTTAGGGAATTCTTGCTCTCCAATAATATTTCCTATCTTGCAATTGTAAATTCATTGTTTCTTGTCTCCTGGAAAAACACTAAGCAAATCTATTCCATCATCTACAGCACTTGAGCTTTCTGAAGATATCTCTCATGTCGTCTTGCAGTCTTTTCTTCTCCAGGTGACATATATCCAGGGTTTCTTACTCATTTTTCTTTCAATCTCCTTGTCTTGGTTCCTTTCCTTGGAATTAGTACCACTTTGTAAAGCCTTAGTAAAATCACACTTGGAGTACTGCATCCAGTTTTGGTCACAACATTACAAAAAATATGTTGAGACTTTGGAAAAAGTATAAAGAAGAGCAACTAAGATGATTAAAGGCCTAGACACTAAAACATATGAAGAATATTTGCAGGATTTGAGTTTGGCTAATCTAGAGAAAAGAAGGACTAGGGGTAACATGATAGCAGTATTCCAGTATTTGAGCGGTTGCTACAAAGAGGAGGGGGTCAACTTATTTACCAAAGCACCTTGTAGGCAGGTCAAGAAACAATGGATGGAAACAAATCAAGGAGAGAAGCAACCTGGAACTAAGGAGAAACTTCCTAACAGTGAGGACAATTAACCAGTGGAACAGCTTGCCATCAGAAGTTGTAGGTGCTTCATCATTGGAGGTTTCTAAGAAGAGACTGGACAATCACTTGTCTAAAATGATATAGGGTCTCCTGCTTGAGCAGGGGATTGGACTAGAAGACTCCAAGATCCCTTCCAGCCTATTCTGATTGATTGATTGATTGAATAAACTCCATTTTGTTAGCCTTTCCAAAGCTATAGTGCCAGAATTAGACACTATATTATAGGTCAATTGCTCTTAAACTGGGGATAATTTGGACATATCTTGGGGATAATGAAGCTATTTTAATTGCTTGCATGTGAGTCAGGGATCAAGTTGGGATTGCTATTGATGAGGCCTTCAACAGAGACAATTTGTTTTGTGTGGGTGAGTGTGGGGTTAATTACATTATTTGAGTCTGGGAAAATGGGTAATTGGGTTAAACAATTTAAGAGTTCTAGATATTTTAGGGGTACTGCATATTTTCTGAACAATACAGAAGAGATATAATGTCTTCTTTTTATCTTGATTCTCTTGATATAGACTTGGTCTGCATTTGCTTTTTCTTGTAGCTGCATGACTTATATTCATATTGTTTTCCACCAAGACACATAGATTCTTTTTGCCTGTACTGTTGCCTGGGATGACCATCCCAATCCTATAGTCAGGCCTTTGATTTTTTTAATCAAATGAAGGACTTTGCATTTGTCCGTGCTGAAACTCACATAAATGGTTTCTGGCTTATAAAATCCTTCTGAGTCATGATACTGTCTTCATTTATCTATGAGCCTTCTAGAAATCTAATGAGTGTTTTTGCAGATCTGTATAAATTAGTGCAAATCTGTATCCTATTACATGCATAGTTCTGCACAATTAAGAACTTATTGTGCACTCAGCTCTTTGTCCAGTTACGTTAACAAAATAATGGTTTCAGATCAATCAGGAAATCGCAGCAGATTGAAAAGAGCACAGAGAAGTTTCATAGTTTCCCTTTTTGTGTGAATTACAAGATGAAAGCAAAGAAGCACACAAGCCTAAAACAACAGTTTGGTCATGCAGTTTTTGTGATGTTTTAGCATCCTGATTGTAATTACAGCCATCCCACTGCAATTGTAGAGTACGCCTTTCATTGCACAAAAATTAGGCTGATAGCTTGCAGGTTTTGATCTGTATGTTAAGAACAGGAATGGATTATTCTATTTAGTGCTTTCACTCTTCCAATACAGAAAAATATGGAAATTGCACCTGATATAATACTTTGTGCAACTTCCTCATCATTTAAGTCAATCTTAACACCACTAATGCAAGTAAAATCCAGTGTGGGGAGCTGCTGGGCTAGATTGAAAAATATTTCACATCAAATGGCTGGCTTACACACACACACACACACACACATGTATACACACGCCATGCCCACTCCATTCCACAGTAATTATGGAACATGTGTCTGCCACTTATATGAAAATTAGATATATTTTGATATATAGTGCACTATCCTAAAGTGTTGACTGAGCAGAATAATATCAAGAATTCAAGAGAATTTACCACTAGGAAAAAAAAATGTAATATGAGAACACGATTATCATTAGTGAACTTTTCACAACATGTTGAAAAAGGTGTTTCAGGTGCTTTCTCAGCTATCCAGTCCAAAAAATGCAATTATTTATCCTGATGCAAGACAAAAGCTTTCCTATTTTGTGTTTAATGTTATATACTACTTTATTACTTCATTTGCAAGTGATTTATTCTGTGCATTCTTTATAGAATCAGTTTGTCCAACAAGAATTCCTGTGGCATCTCGGGACGAAAAAGGATTTGATATCCTGTTAGGCTTAGATGTGAAAAAAAAGGTGAAGAAAAGAATTCAGATTCCAACCACTAATGTAAAAGCTTATGAAATCACTTCCCGGATTGATTTATCAGAATTGACAAGGTACGTCTTTCTCCTGAGCTGAAAGTTCTTATGAAGGTTTGCCAGTTTTTTATTCCTTAAATGTGTGTGTGTGTGTGTGTAGTATACATTTTAGAATTTTTGTAATTCTATAATTATTTTATGTTTTAATTTTTGAAAACAAAATGTTTTCCAGAAATGTATTTCCAGAAGGCCTTCCTCCATCATATGTATTTGTATCTACACAGCGATTTAAAGTAAAAAAAACATGGGATTTGTGGAGGATTCTAAGCCAAGATGGAACACCACAAATAGCTGTTACTGTAATCGGAGAAAAGAAAACATTATCCTTTACTACAACAAACCTAGTCAATGGCAATCAGGTTGTTACTTTTACTGCACCCCGTGTAAAGGTAAAGAGCATATCATGTGTCAATTGAAAAAAATCTACAACTATATGATGTGTTTAAATGCAAGGAGGTCCAATATTTCAGATCAAATTCAACCTAGATTTAGGCCCATGTTTGCAATTACATTCTGGAAGGTATTGTGCAACTTATGGGATCAGGTAAAGCATAAGGATGTTCTCTGGGAGGCAATATTTTTATTAAAGGCCCAGGTGACCTCAGTGACTACCTAACACTTCTCATTGACTGAGAAGAATACTGATGCTGAGAAGATCATTGACATTGACATCCCCTAAACTCTGCTGAAGATGTTACCTAGCCTGATAACGAAACGTGAGAAACTAACCCACAAGCTCAAAGAATGAACCTTCACCCTCACTTTTCATTGTTTTTGGATTGCTGTTGGCTTATTCAACCTATCTGAAGAGTGCTAGGCTGGTATTCTAGCACTAGTTAAATGTGGATTGGTTTTATATTAAAGACTATTCTGAAGAGAATAGTCTACCTAGAACAGAATGGGACTGACTACAGGAGTGGCAATTTATTATGAATACGTCCCATTTTTTTCAATAGTTTTTAAATAGCTCTTTGATATGGTCAGATGGCTAATTCGTAACATCTGTTGTATTGACTGCATTGGTGATTCTCATCTGGAATTTATACAATGTATTGTACGCAGCAGCTATTTTCAAAGGGGAATTGGAAATTTTACTTTGTCCAAATGTACATTTCTAGACCCAAATCATAACTATTGGTACTGATGTAAAAGCCTTAACAGTTTGGGGCTAATGTATATAAATGAATGCTGCCTCCATGTTAGGAGCACGTTGTCCATTTTTAGAACGCCTTTATTTATTGGCTAAAATAAAGATAGGTCAGCACCACTTGGGGCATGTTTGACGTGACATAGCTGTCTTCATTCCAAGCTTATGCAGCAGTCTTTACCCAGGCATTTTAGTAACATAGTTTAACTTTGGTTTAACTTATTGGACTAAGGACCTAGATTCAATTTTCTGTGGGGTAGGTTATAAAAAGGTGGTGTCTTATACAGCTTTCATGCTGCTCAGCTTGATTTTCCTGTTTGTTTTGGGAAGATGACCTCTGAACGGCCATAGACAGCATCCTCCAGATAGTGCTGGATCCCATTTCCTAGCACCTCTCACTATTGCCTGTCCTGACTTGGAATGCTGGGAGGGGTAGTATTGCAACATCTGGAGGGTGTCACCCTTATTACTATTGTAAACTACCCAGGGTAGCCCCACGATGCGATGGATAGCAAATATATTTAATAATAATACATAAATAAACATTCTATGGTCCCTGAATGGCAGGCTACTCTTTCAAAACGGAGATACAAACGTTTTCTAAAGAAGATGGATATGTTCTGCTCTGCCTATTCTGTTTTCCACATAGGCACTACTTGGCAATATTAAGAATGTATTTTTAGAAAAAAAGATTTTTGAGTCCCTCTGATTGGTTTTTACCATGAATAGTAGGCTATATTAAGTTGTTGCAATTAATGATGCTTCAAGGTTATATGAATGACAGTGTAAGTCTCACATGTCCTATACAGAAAGACAAACATACATACGTTTACTATTCTCTCCCATTGTTTTTCTAGACGTTGTTTGATCAAGGCTGGCATCAAATTCGTCTCTTAGTAACTGAAGCTGATGTAACATTGTACATAGATGATCAAGAAACTGAAACGAAGCCATTGCATCCTGTTGCAGGAATCTATATTAGTGGAGTGACTCAAATAGGAAAATATACAGGGAAAGAAGAGACTGTGCAGGTATAGACTTATTCAAATTGCAGTGTTTTATGAAACAGAAATAAATCTAAGCACATTAGTATAATAACCTGATCTCATAGCTTAAAATTTAATGGACTTTTCAATGAATGAGCTCCATTCATTGGTGGCTTTGATTTAGTGAAGGACACTTTTATTCAGGTTAATACCAGTACCTATTGGCTGCTGTTTTCTTTTACCCATTTAAGACCCTGCTATCTGTGAAAGCACTTCCTGAGGGCTGGTAGGTCTTCTGATCCAGAATGGGGAGTTGCTGTGCCTAGAGGGGCTTATTGGTAACCAGGTACTTTGGCTAAAGAAATTAGGAGTGACATCTGTGAGTGGAGGGAAACACAGCTCAAGGCCTGTGGGCTATGTGACTGACCCCTCAGTCCCATTTATGGCCTACTAGCATCCTGGGATCAGACATACAAAATTCAACAGCAAAACAGGTGCAGTCTGGAAGCACCTTTTTTTAATCCTCTTAGAAGAAAATTAACTAAAGTGCTTCTGCAAAGAATTGGGGGGGGGGGATGGTAGAGGTAGTGGAATGTAGAGATCTGCAGAATGGGCCTCTTCAGTAGTTCTCAGGCTGGACACTGTTAATCGGGTTCAGTCAATAGGCTGCTTGTCCCATCAGGTCTACCTCTTTTCAAAGGCATCTTTTAATTTACTGTTAAATGGCATCTTCTGCTAAGCATTATTTGGCCAAAACAAATAGTGCAACCCTATCGTTTCTAAAAATGTATGTGTTGTGTCCTGAGCCTGCAAGAGCTGAAAGCAGGCTCAGAATTGTTGCAAATGGTCCTGGGCAATCCAAAAGCTGCCCTGGACCAGACAGAGTGGTGCCAGCCTTGTGCGCATGTGCAAGGCGCGCAAAGGGTCAATTCCTATTGGTTCACACTGTCTGGGTTTCAGGCACTATAAAAGGCCTGTGTGCCTTTTGCTGCTCGCTTGGTTGTAGGAGTGAGTAATAAAGAGCTTGTTGTTTTCACCATGCGTCTTCGTCAATTGCTAGCGAACTGAAAACACAACAGTATGGAAGTCTTATGTTTATTTTCCTCTTCTGTTCAATCATGTGTGATTCTCGGAGACTGCCTGGATAAATCCCTGCAGTCTTCTTGGCAAAGGTTTTTCAGAAGTGGTTCCCTCCTTCCAAGGGCTGTGAGAGTGGGACTGGTCCAAGGTCATTCAGCTAGCTTAGTGCCTAGGGTGGGACTAGAACTCCCAGTTCTCCCAGTTTTTAACCTGGTGCCTTAACTATTACACCAAACAGACTTCGCTGTAGGACTTTTTTAATTGTTCCCTCCTCTTCCCCTTTATCCAAATTGCCTTGTTGGATAGCACTTGGCAAGTGATCACCAGGAACGGGATCACATCACCTCAGTTCATGTCCATATGCCCATATAGCCCATTGAAACCCCAAGAGTGTATTCTGTCATTGTCACGGACCATGAGGGAGGACCAGATAATGGTGAACTTTTTGGCTATATAAAAGCCTGTTAAGATGTCATAAGAAATACTTGTCCAAAGAATGCATAATTTCTGCTTTACAGTTTGATGTCCAAAAGCTAAGGATTTATTGCAGCCCAGAACAAAACAGCCGTGAAACAGCCTGTGAGATACCTGGCGTTGTGAGTATTATAGAAGATTACTAAGAACTGTTGGCTATTTCTCAATAAAAAGCTGGGAAAATTGGGAAAAAGAGCTGAGGAAAGAGATTCTGAGAATGGGTTTGTCTTTGGAATTAAAAAAAAGGAGCCTGTGCTAAAATTATGTTAACATAAACAATACTCTAGGAATTTAGGCTGCTCTCCATCAGACAACTTGTCTAAAATTCCACAGGGATGATTTTTTTCCCCTCCCAAAATGTGCTTGATTGCTCCTGACTGAGACGAGTATTTACAGATCTCTTTGCTGAGGCCTTGGAGATCCAGAGAGACCATGGTCAGAAATTAGTTTTCTGGTTTTTGGCAGTTTCAAAGGATGCAAAAGAAAGGGTTGCTTGTGTGTGCATGTTTTAAAAAAAAGTTTTAATTCCATCATTTTTCCCCCTTTTTATTTCAGAATGGAGAGGTAGGCCAAACAATGCATAATATTCGTACAAATGTAAGGTAACATTTGCTTTTCTTACATTTCTAGTAAACTTACTATTAATCAGGTGAGACAGGAATGTATTATGTATTTGGAATATGGGATAGAAGGAAATGTGGAATTGTATTGTTTGCAAAACATTTTTTTACCTCCACGCTGAGAGATTCTTCTTTAAGTAAATAATTCAGTTGACATTTGTTTCAATTTTTATGTTATCTTGAACTAAATTTGATGTACAGACTATTTTCCATTACTCATTACTAAACTACGTATTTTTATATTATTAGGAGCATTCAGTGCTCACATTGATGAAATATGTCTTTGTATGTAAAATACACACATGCATACTTAATTCATATTTATATTCTTTGCAAATGCATAGATATAAATACATACACAATGTAGAAAACGGATATATTCGGTTTTTAAGGCAAATAAGGTGCTAGAAAGTATTCAATTTTTTTGCAGTTATGAGTTAATTCTTGGTGATTTATTTCAATTATACATGAAAAGAGAAAATATCTACAATTTGGAACATATAAGGGACGATTCAGTGGAAATTTCTCTAATTACAGGCCCAGGAGAAAATCCTTGATGGATAATCCTTACATTTAAAAAAGTGTGGACTTGTTACTTTGTTCTTTGCAATAAACAGATAATGCTTGAGCACTTCTATGTGAAACATTCTGAAAGCCGAGATACTTTTTTTTTCTAATATAGATGTTACTGTGGGGCTAAAAAGACTTATTTTTATAGACAGTACAAGCAAGAATTGTTTGTCTCATCCCTTAGCAGTCTGTATGATTTAGTGTTCTTGATACTTTTTTTGTTCCAATCTTTCGCAGAATTTTTTGCCAGGTGAACCCAGACTTTTTCTCCATTTGACCCAGGAGTGGGCTGAGAGGGCTACTATGTAGGTGGGGATATATTACACAGGTGGGAAGGATTATGTTTGGGGAGGATCTTCATTTTTTTAATTGTGATGTGCCTGTTTAATACTTATAGTACAGGAATCAATTACCCCCTTCCTCAAGATAAGAAGAAACTGCCTTCAGGTTTCAGCTGTTATGATCCAAGAGGCTTCCACACAGGGCTGCACCTTATGTATCCTTGTTTCAGTCAATAGAGTCTATACTGAATTGCAGCTAATTTTTCTATATCTGATTCATGGATCCTTCAGAATTATCCATTTCCTCCAGATGGGAGAAGAGAGGCTTACAGCATTCTGTGAAAGGCACCCAGGATTTTAAATTAAATTTTTTTAATAGAAAATCTGTAGGAATAATTAAGTTATATCCTAGGAAACAGAAGCTGCCCTCTGATTTCTACAGAGAATTTTGTGTTGCGATTATGAAATTGCGATTATATCATCAAAGCTGGTTTGATTATCTTTGGGGATTGTAGTGGAACAAGTGTAAAAATTATATTGGAGTTGGTATTTGAAAATATTTCTTTTCTTGGATAGTGCAAGAATGGACCCAGCGATGTAGGATCTACACCACCTCCTTGTATTTGTCCTCCAGGAAAACAAGGACCCCCAGGCCCCAAAGTGAGTGGACTTTAGATCTAATATAGGTAGTATTTTACATATAAGGTTGAGATAATAGAAGTATTTGTGGATTAGTGCACCACTGGCTAATCAAGTTGTCAAGAACTGAACTTTTTCAGTACTAGGAACTTTATTCAAAAACCACATTCCAACTATTTTGCCCTTCATATTGTCCATTCTCCTCAATTTTTACCATCCATGCCTTCATGAAAGTCTTAATGGCCACTAAGTAGGACTTGAGTTTACAATGGAATTAATCACTCTAGAGATAGTTGAAATAATAGATAGATGCGTTGTAGATTTAAGTTTAAATAGCCATTTCAGAATTTAGCAGTCCTCCTTTAGAAGACTAAATTGCAGAAAAATCAGTGAAATGTCAACATTATGATTTCCCGTGTGAAAAGCTTTGCTGTACTAAAAAAAGGAATTATTGATTTTGTGATATATAGTAGGAGGAGAGAATGGAGAAAAGTAAAATAAACAAAACTGTGTTTTATTTTCTCCTCCCTGTCAGCGCCTGCCAGCCTAGCAGTTCAAAAGCGTGCAAATGCAAGTAGATAAATAGGTACCACTTCAGTGGGAAGGTAACAGTGCCCCGTGACATCATGCTGGCCACATGACCACAGAGAGCACTGGCTAAATGGGCTTGAAATGGAGATGAGCACCGCTCTCCCCCTTATAGTCAGCTACGACTAGCGGAGTAAAATCCGCAGGGACTTTTTTACATTTACTTTTACCTCACTGTTAGACTGAAATTATAAATGAGCTTTTTAGTGAACTGGTCTATTGCTATATTATTTGTCAGAACTATAGCAAAGTCCCACAATTTTAATGTTTATTTAACATGTTTAAGTTTCACTATAGCTTTCCCAGGGTTTGGTTCATATTACTGTTGGTTAAGACATGGAAGCTAAAAAAAAAATCTACCATCTTTGATTTGGTGCTGAATGTTCCCCTATAATGTTCTTACAGTCTCATATATATCAACATATAAAAAAAATAATCTGGCCAACTCTCTGAGGCCCCAGCCAACTATTATGCCCTTTTAATATAATACTTACAAACGTTTTTATTTAATTATGCATGTTAGGAAAGTTTGTAACAGCTGAAATATCCAGCATAATATCACCGCCTCTTGTGAAAGTAAGAGCAATTGATGAAAATGTTTCCCACAGAAAAATTAAGGGCTGGATTGTAAAGACAAGTCCTGCATAAAATATGTTTGGTTTACTTCCCAGGTTTTACAGTTTTGAGAATATGTTAGAATGAGGAGGGCTGTTCATTCACAGTCCTCTTATCATATGAAACCCATTCTGATGGTCACTAAGCACATATGAAGCACAACTTCAGGCCAAATGTTGCTTATGTGCATATAATTAATACCTATATTTTAAAAAATGTAAATATAGATAGTACATGACTTACAACCATTGGTTTAATGACCTTTTGAAGTTACAACAGCACTGAAAAAAGTGACTTATGACCATTTTTTCACACTTACGACCATTGCAGCTCACGTGATCAAAATTTGGGTGCTTGGCAACTGGCATATATTTATGACTGTTGCCCTATTCTGGCATCATGTGATCACCATTTGTAACCTTCCCAGCTGGCTTCTGATGAGCAAAGTCAATGGGGGAAGCCACATTTACTTAATGACCGCATGATTCACTTAACAACTGCAGTGATTCTCTTAACAGCTGTAGCAGAAAAAAGTTGTAAAATGAGGCACAACTCATTTAACAACTGCCTCACTTAGCAATGGAAATTTTGGGCTCAGTTGTGGTCATAAGTCAAAGACTACTTGTATAACAAGGCCCACATAATGGTAGACCAAGAGTATATAGAAAATGGGAGTTTGATTTTTCTTCCTTACTGTGGTCTTCATAAAATTTACTCTTCCCAAGCTGCCATTGACAGAAAATCCTCTGTTGATTCCAGTGCAAGATATTATAATTTTAATTAGGATTATAACAGAATAGAAAGGATTATTTAAAAAAAATCCTATACAGTTGAGTCCCAAGATTCCTTGGACTTCTCTGAAGCTGCTATTTGAATTTCTTAAAATGTGCATGTTGGCTGCGTTTATAAAATGAATATTGTATAAATATGGATGTGAGGGAAGAATAATAGTTCATTAAACTTGTATGCCATCTAACTTTCCATGACTTTGGGTGGCATCAAAGTATCACGACTTTTACATCCTTAAATTAAATGTCATGCTATATTGGGATAATTCTGTGAAGACATCCTTGTGTACAAGACAAGTGTGCAACATCCTAACTTTTTTGGTATACAGAGTATATCACAATAACTTCAATTGGTACAGAAAGGAAGGAGTGAGTGAGATACAGGGCATGAAGTGAAAAAAAAGACCATCTTCCTTATATTATATTCAAGAGTGACAGATTAAGGAAAGGAGAAAAGAATTCCTTCTCACCTTTTCAGAACTCACGGCTCAGTATTTAGCAAGATAAAGCAATAATAGATAATTGAATTATTTTCATGCTACTTGAAAAGATATCAGAAAAGGATTTTCTGTATTTTTCTTAAATTGTTCTTAAAGAAAATTGTTCTCCCCCCCCCCCAAAAAAAAACCCCAAAATTGAACTTTTCCTTTATCCTGTAAGCACTGTTGGCAATGAAGGATCCCTTTTGGAGGCTGGAGAAATGTTTTGTGAGTCCCACCTTATTCTGTACTTTGTCTTATTTCTAGGGTGATTCAGGACAACCTGGGAATCATGGCTTCCCTGGAGAACCTGGTCCAGATGGTAAGCCTGTGAGTACTAAAAACTTAGTCATCTTCAGTAATTTTTAATGCAAAACTGATAATAAAATGGATCAGAATGTTATTGTGAATAAACAAATAATTCAGCCTAGAAACACTCCTTAATACAAAGAATTAAGATTCCTACATTAAAAAGTTTGGTATGCCAAAAAGTAAGTATTAATATTTTCCTTAAAATTTAGCTCAGCTTTTTGTATCATTTCCCAAAGTTAATTCTATGTTTCATAGTCCTTTAATTCTACTGCTATTAAAGACACTTGCAGTGTAGCCCACCCCACCCCCCATAAAATGAATTTTGCTCAGCTTGGCACCCTCAAACTATCTTGGGCATTTTTTAATTATAAAATAAAAAGTATCCCAAAAACATCAGATTACCAAAGGCAGGTATAGAAGCCTTTCACAATTTGAAATTATTTTATATTCATAAATGGTCAACTTTGCTGCTATAAAAGTTGCAATGAAAATATTTTGGATGCTATGTTGAATTAATTTAGAAATGCTAGTTTCATAATAGCATTATAAGATAAATTGCAGAACTTTCTGTGGGCCAATCCAGTTAGCATGCTTTTGATTAAAGCATATTACAAAAGATATCTAAACATTTAAATTAGTTTAATCTCTTTCCCAACAATTAAAGTAAAGACAAATGAAATACTGAAATGGAATATCTTCAAAGTTCTGATCTTTCTCCAGAATATTCAGTTCTTTTTAATATATTCAATGAAATCAGTCAATTTAATTAAGTTCCTAGATTTTTTTTTAATTAACAAATAAAACAGCCTGATCTTTATTATTTTTAATGCTGCTTTGGGTGCACTTTTCTTGCTCACAATATGTTTCCCCTGATATAATTGATATATTATCAATTATAATTTGATAATACTTCTATGTTTCTACAAGGCTGTTGTCTCTTTTTGGTGGTCAGAGTATATTTGCTTTCTGTATCAGTTCTACATGGAAAATCTGAGATAAATGCTTGTTGGAAACTATATAAATTTTAGGGATATTGCCAATTGCTTGAGGAGCTCCACGTTATAAGTTGTCCAAATTTTCTTATTTTGGTTCCTTAGTTACATTTTGGCCATACTCGTAGGTAGAACAGATGGTTGAAATTATTATGGTGGTTCCCTTTGGATGCTAACACTGTACTGTTATGAATAGCAGTACCAAAAATACACATTTCCATGTATTGAAGATTGTAACGGGAGAGAGTCCAAGAATAAATAAATCCTAGTATAATGTTCAGAGAGGACCAACAGCTAGCAGAACCAAGATCTTTAAAAAAAAAGGTTGCTTTTTTATAGGGAAGGATTTACTTGAATAGTTCAGTTAATTATAAATCTATGAGTTTGCTCAAATGCTGAACTCTTCAACAAAAAAAGGGAAAGTACTTCATATAATTTGAAAGATATTTATGCCATTTTATTTAACTCTCTTGTTGTCTGGAAAGCACAGGTTGGCGAAGCTTACTATAAGGAGCTGTAGTAGATTGCATGACGTCATCCTATAATTCATCTTCCCCAGAGTAACTCTTTGTCAATATTCTCAGTAAGCTCTGTGATTGATTAGCAACCTGAGCCTACATTTTCTCAGACCAATATTCTTCACAATACAGACAGTATACAGGCAGTCCTCGACTTACAACCACAATTTGAGCCCAAAATTTCTGTTGCTAAGCAAGACACTTGTTAAATGGGCTTTGCCCAAATTTATGACCTTTCTTGCCATGTTTCTTAAGTGAATCACTGCTGTTATTATGTTAATAATACGATTGTTAAGTGAATCTGGCTTCCCCATTGACTTTGCTTGTCAGAAGGCTGCAAAAGGTGCAACTGCAACCGTCATAAATTCATGCCTGTTTTGATCACATGCCTGAGGAAATAGATGCCATGTACACTTTATTTTTAAGAAATACAGAAACTTAATATAATTAATCATAATTTCATGTAAAAGTAGATACCTTGCTGCTCATAAAGTCTCCATAATGTAGTATAGCCTCTGGATTAATGATAAAAAGACTTTTTGCTACCAGTGGTAAGTGGGAAGTTACACTGCTAGTATTTTTAGAAGTTGAGAGCCACATCCTTGTTGTAGCTTTTATTCTAGCTGTGGACAAAGGTTCTTAGTAATGACATAAATAACATTATAATGAACCATGGAAGAAAAAAAAATCAACCATTCTTGTAGATTTATAATCTGGCAGTTCTGCATGTTTTCCTCAGATGAGTCAGTTTTTCAAGTTGAACATTTCTCACAGTATGGAAATTTTTAAAAAAAGTTATTTTAGGAATTGAGAGGGCTATTAAGAAGGAATATTAAAATCATGATGCTGCTCTTGGTCTGCCTAAGTGGCAGTCCTATACAATACTCTCATTGGAACCTATTCCTAATTATTTTGTTGTCTTTCAGTTAGTAATTGAGCTGTAAATGAAACAGTCTTTGACTATTCCTTAGCCATAATTGGAATTAGTATAAAGTAAAATATTAGTATAAAGTAATAATACAAAACCTTGCATCCCAAAGTCCTATGCTTCTTTTAATGAACATTTGCTCTATGGGCAGGTTTATTAAGGCATAGAGGCCGTTTCTAATAAAGCTCTAAATATCATGGAATATTTATTTGAGTTAGAGCCATATTCCTTCCATGCATACAAACTCAACTTTCCACAGGCATTCATGATCCTCGTGACACATGAACTGCTAGATGAGTGTAGTCAGTAATTCTGAGACTGTTTATACAGAAAAGATTGGGAATGTTTGCTTGATTTTGAAATAAATCCTAATTGGATACATTTATATACTATTTTTCTAATGAATTTTGAATTCTGACGTAAGTAGCAGATGGAACATCAGAATGTGAGGTTATTGGCTATCTTATCTATTTATTTATATTCCACTTTTTATTATTTTTATGAATAAATCAAGGCAGTGAATATACCGTACACAGTGCTTGTTCTTCCTTCCATTTCTGCACAATAAAATCCTGTGAGGTGGGCTGGGATGTGAAAGAGAGTGACTGGCCCAAGGTCACCAGCTGGCTTTCCTGCCTAAGGTGGGACTAAAACATTCTCCTCATTTCTAGCCTGATGCCTTCACTAATAGACCTAACTAACTCTCAATATCTTGATTTTTAAAACCCCCTTTTTAAAGATAAATATTGCCAAAGAATGAGGGAACTTTCCTAATCCAAATTTCCACTGAAGTGCTCCTTGGTCTTCTGGGGAAAATGAACAAATATGAAATGTATCAAAAAACTGAAACTGAAGAATGTTGATTTAGGATAAAGAATGCCTTAGAATGCCTACTGAAGATTGCTTGGAATGTATTGATAGCTAATAGCCTAAACCACATTGCTTTATTCACAATAAATATAATTGAAATAGAAAAATACTTTGCTGGAGTAATATTTAAGCTGCCCAACTGGGAAAAGCATTCAGAACAAGGTATGTGATAATAAAACCAAGAACCATGACCTAAAAAACCCAGTGATATGTATCAAATGATCCCAGTTTAGCCTCCAAATATATGCAATAAAGATAATAGGTAGATTTCCATATAGAAGTAGTCCTCGAGTTACAACTACTCATTCAAGCAATCATTCAAAGTTACAATTGTGCTGAATGAAGGAAATTTACAATCAGTCCTTAGAGTTTTGGCTGTCAACATGTCCCCATGGTCATGTGTTGGCAATCTGGGTACTTCGTGCCTGGCTCACAATTATGTCACAGCAAGTGATGGTCTCATGATTGCATTTTTTTTTTACTGTTATGCACTTTTTACTATTCCCTGACAGATTCCCACAAGCAAAATCAATGAGGAAGCCAGCAGGAAGTTATTCTGGCTCCCTTGCTTTTCCCCCCACTCAGACTCCATAGTGCCTGCCCATACCATCCCCTCCCTCCCTGTGGCACCTATACACTTGCCTGTGCTCAGTATTCCTCACCCCCATGGCATATATATCTTGCACATCCACCAGCCTGCTGGCCAGGGACTCTCAGCTCTTCCTGCTTAATAACCTGCATAATCCTGGAATTATGATGACATATGTGCTTCATAACCACACCACTTAGTAGTGGAAATTGCTGTTGTAACCTGTGGACCACCTGTAAAAATGAATGGTAGTAGAGGTAGTAGCTTCCTCTATAGCCATATCCACATAGCTGCTTTGCTGAGCATTCTTGCTGACCAATAACTAGTAGGAAAGCATGCCATCCTAAATCTTGGTCTTCTTACATTAAATCTTTACTGTGTACCCGAAATGGGTCTGCCTGGGCTACTGTCAATGCAGCTTTAAAGTGCACTATATCAAGGACTGTGATTGGTTGTTTCTTTGGCAGAAATTCCAACCCTCCGCAGTGTCACCCACAGTGCAAAAAGTGTTCACCAATTAGCATGACCACAGTCTTGTAATTCTGCACACTGCATTTTTAAAAATCTTTTTCTTTCTCGTACCACTGGCTAATTGAACTTTCTCCCCCCCCATTCCTTATAACTGGGTTGATCAGTTGACCACTAAGTTGAGCCGTGGTGGTTAGAATGCAGTACTGCAGGCTACTTCTGCTGACTGCCAGCTGCCACTAGTTCGGCAGTTTGATTCTCACCAGCTAAAGGTTGACTGAGTCTTCCATCCTTCTGAGGTCAGTAAAATGAGGACCCAGATCATTGGAGGCAATATGCTGACCCTGTAAACAGAGGGCTGTAAAGCACTGTGAAGTGGTATATAAGTCTAAGTGCTATTGCTATTGCCTTTGCAAGAAAGCTATTTTCTTTTAAACTCTTGGCTGCCATCTATTTGTCATCCAATATGGGCAGCTGACTGGGATACAGTAAGAGTCAAGTATTGAAGAGTTGGAGTTTGGGAAGAGGGTATTTTGAAACCAGGAGAGTGTGAGTGCTAGGACTGCCCTAGGCAGGAAAGCTGGCTGGATGTCTTTGGACCACAACTCAGCCATCACATTTTTACATTCCCTGAATGCCATGCGGTCATAAGGATTTTTTTTCCTGGCAGCTCATCTCTTTTCCTGACCTTTTTGTTTTTTTGGCAAGATGCGATTGACTACTATTTATTATTTATTGCCAACAACTTTTAAATTTGAATTAATTTTTGTGGAATGTATTTTATGATTCCATGTGAAAATGAACTTTATGTCATTCATAATAGTCGGTTTTGTTAATGAAGACAAAGGGGACATTCAACCCATTTCCTCCACTGAGATACAGAGCTGATTTAAATAGCAACTTAATCATTGTGGATCTTTTAAAATCCAATTTGCATATGTGAGTTGGTATATTCTATGATGTGTCATGTTGTTATTCTATATCTGAGTGTAAAGTAGGACTTACGCTTGCAGAAGTAACATAGAAAGCCCCACATCTGTTTAGGAACCAGATTTCTGCTCCTCTTATGTCAATCATCCATGAAAAATGTACCAATAAGTGTACATTACAAATGTGTATGGGAATTCCTCACAGGAGGTTACTTTCCATGTAGTTCTGATTTAAAATGAGGCAAACTGTGTAAAGTTCAGTCTCTTTTATCATCAAATTAATGGATGGATACACTTAATTCAATTTATTTGGAAGATAATGAAATTATCCTTAATGACTACTTTACTGTTCTGCTGAAAAGCTGGCTTGAAAATATATGTGTGTGTATGTATATATGTATATATGTATGTATGTATGTATGTATATATACATATACACACACATGTATATGTATATATATGCAGTGCTTTTTTTCTAAAAAAAAAGGTGCCGGAACTCACACATGTCATACAACCCGCCTTGCCTACCCTACAAGGTTCCATCCAAAAAAGGTGCCGGAATTCCGTTCTGGGCGTTCTATGAGAAAAAAAGCCCTTTATATATGTATATATATATGTCTGTGTGTGTGTGTGTGTGTGTGTGTGTGTGTGTGTGTGTGTGTGTGTGTGCGTGCGTGTGTATTCAAAATTCTATTGGCACAGCGATATTCCCAGTTCTGTGCACTTGATAGAAACTCAAGGCTGAGCCATGAAAATGTTGTTGTAAATCATTTAAAGCAAAGTGCTCAAACACACAGTAGTATTACGTTTGGGTTTTTCTTCTTAGGGTTATCAAGGAGTAGCAGGTACTCCAGGATCACCAGGGATTCAAGTAAGCTCACTATGTCTTTTTTTTTACACTAGAAAATGCTTCTTTAAGTGCCTTCATGTTTTGGGGGGGAATTTGCAAAATTCTTAACTGGCATGGCCAAAATTGAGAAAAGCTGTTCTAAGAACCTCTGTTAAGCAACATTTTATATAATGGTTATTGTAATTATAAATAAAATCCATAAAATTCAACAAGGTTCCTAATCTAATTTTTTTTTTTTTTACAAGGGTCCACGTGGCCTGCCAGGTGTGAAAGGCGAACCTGGGACAGATGGGACAAAGGTAAGGCTAATTTAATGCCTATAATTCATTTTAATCAATAAATGCTGCATCACATACCTAATACTCAAAATATTCAAAAGATAGTTACTAATATCTACATTATCTGTTTAAAATATACTTGACTGGCTGTACAGAGGCATCTTTGTATAGGGAAATCTCTAGTTTATTTACATTAATTTTAAATTGCTTCTGAATACTTCTTGGTTTAGAGACATTTTCTGCCATAGTTTGCTTTTTATTTGCTGCATTTGAAATTTTGCCAATAAGTCTGGATGTCCAACCAATGACACATAGAAAAGATGGGTTCATTTGTGTGCATCTATGTAATTTTGATAGTGTTTAAGTACAATGTATTTGGAAGTTAGGCTTTGTATATGTTTATAACCCTATTGTATAAGACACTGGAATTTTTGTAAAGTTCACAATAACGTGACCTTATATGTGATTGTTTAATAGATTTCAAGTCTCTTTTTGGGAAATTATTCTGCAGATTTGAAAAATACAAGCATTTAGAATTGTATTCAATGTTTTTTATGGGATATAGCATACTTATACTGTATATGTCATAGCTTCCTTATAGCCATCACTCTTATATAATTATACTGAAAATTTATCTTGACCAAATTACTTTGTATTCTGTGTAGTATTCAGAAAGCTCTCAGTGAACAATGATTTTCCATTCTTTATAATATCAGAGTCAGCTGTGGTAAAGAATGAATTTGGCAATGACTCCAAGAGTAATAATGATGAGATGTTCACTGTGGCTCTTTAATGAGTGTTAATTCTTTAAGGTATGCAAGAAGCATTTGAGCCAGATGTTTAATATCTTCATTTCTTGTAAGATTAATAATGTTGTTGTTTATTTTGGTTGTGGATCACCATAAAATTAATAATATAGCAATCACTCTAAAGTAGAAGTAAAAATACAACTTATTAATCTAAAATTGCAAAGGAATCAAACCCTTGATTCCCTATAAAAGACCTGTAAAAATTACAGTTGGAATGCTACATATAATTAATTTAGATAACAGTAGATAAAGTATTAGGATTTATAAAACACTGTGAAAATGTAAAGCTATGCTAACCTCTATTAAACCTAATACTTGCGGAATACCTACTAGGGATTGTTGAAATTAAGGCAATTATGATCCAACCCAATTGCAACATAGACATAGCAAAACATAACAAAGAATATAATGCTTGATTTGATTATTATTGCTGGGATGGGTTTGTTCGTTTTTATTCTTTTTGTACTGATTTTTTTTTATCTTTGTAAGCCATCTGGAGTCACTGAGTGAGTTGGGCGGCCATATAGATTTTTTATAAATAAATAAATGGAAAATCGGGTGGGGGAGGAAAGTACAGTAGAAAAGGAGGAAAAGATTATAGAATATACTGAGTTGGAAACCTGGATTAGATGCCATTGTGATTTAGCTCAAAGCTACCTCAAAATGTATATCTGAACTGAAATTTGAGTTAAAGTCACTTGAGTTCAAGCTGTTTGGGCTTGTCTTTACACAAATTAATGGTTTTGCAAAATGTCAGTTTCAGACATTTAAGAACATTTTCCTACTTCTTCGAAACAAAATTGACTATTGTTCATGTTCAGTTGTTTGTGGGTAGAGATTATTTTAAAATGTTTCAGAAGTTGTGAATAACCAGGACTTTAATTTATTGTCCAGATGCTGATTTATATGTGCTGGTACAGATGTACTGTTCCACATACTGGCAATATACTATTCAGTTGTCTTATTGGAATAGGTTAAGATGAGCTTGCAAATAAATCATTGGTAGTTAAAAATAAAACAGGGAGGGAAACATAACATCTGGCAGGGAGGGAGAACAGCAAAGAATCAAGCTATAAATAAAGTTACCTGCTAAACTAACTTCATGAATAAAGCCATACGCATACATATTTACTGAATTCTCTGAAATAATCAAATGTTTTTATAAACCATAATTCTACATAGTAAATATGTTTTTAATGTTTCTATGTGACATATCTGCTGTGACAAGATATTTCCCAACAAATATTTTAGTGGGGGTTGGTTCTAGGAAGAACATCATAGATTGTTTGCTTCTATGTTTTGTGCATTCCAGATAGTTCATTTCTTAATTATTTCAAAATGCAGATGCTTGGAGCTTCTGGCTGATGGCTAATTATTCTCTAGGTTGCTTTTCCTAGCCCTTTGCATTTGTTTTTGTACATCATTTCCTCATGTCCTAAGAAAACAGTGGTATAATTCTCATTTAGAAAGCAACCCAGTGGAATAAATACCTTTGTCTCATTTACAAAGTGATGCCTTTAGATACCTATTTATTTAGTTATGGTGCTTCACAGAGATTTATTTTTTTTTCCTTCTAGGGTGAACGTGGAGTTCCTGGTTTTCCTGGATTACATGGAATGCCAGCATCTAAGGTTCAAACCAAATGCTTCTTGTAACAATGGGTAGGATGTTAAAAAAAAATCAAGGGATTTTCAAAATAATAAAAACCCCGTGCTTTTTATCTCATTCAGAGTAAAAAAAAATAGGACTTATTATTCCATGTTTTCTTTTCTGTCTTCAGGAACACAACTTTTAGTTGGGAACATTGTCAGATAAGTAGAGGTAGACAACCATATTTCTGGAAGTGATGATATCACACAGGCTGACTTGTTTATCCAATTTTAAGTAGTTATCCCTTAACTAATAAGGTTGTGATACTAGGGAAACTATTTTTCAATATTATCACCTCCTCTTTCCTGACAATTGAAACTAGCTTGCTCTGAAGGTCTGGAATGTTTAGTCTACTTATCACCTCAACATCAGTGCAAAGCTTGTCTTATGTGAAATATTGCTCATCCTTCCATTGATGCTACCTCCAAGTAGATGGATTTGTTTTTGAATTTTTAATTCCTTATTTTACAATAGACCTCCTAAAAATATTGTAAATTGGAACTATAATACAGGTAAATTAGAGCTATTACTCTTTTGCATTAAGTTGTTTTTATATGTGTTTATATGTTATTATGTTATTATTATATGTTTTCTAGTGCTATGTAGGAGGAGTGGCAGAGCCTGGGGGTGGAGTCAAAGGGGAATCAGCCTAGAATCTCTATGTTCCCACAAGCAATCTAAGTCCAACCGATCTTGAAGTCCAACTCTTATCTAGTGCCAAATTGGTACTAACTGTTACTTGACTAGATTCCTGTGCATAGACATAAGCAATAAATCAGTTTAATTGGAAATTGAATGCATGGCCTTAGTCTTTTGCTTCTGATATACTGGCTGTAAAAACTCATGAGAGGCAGATGGTCTGAATGCACAGTTATGAAGATATTTTATTTCTGATGTATACAGTATATAAGTATTAATTTTAAACCACGTTTGCACTATGTTAAAAGGTATGGCCACTATCACTATAGATATTGTGAGCTATGTTTTCATGCTTTATTCTGCACTATTTAATTTGCCTCTTTGCATAGAAAAATAAAGTTATCTATTTTATTAAGGGGGACAGAGGACCCAAAGGTGATCAAGGCATACCAGGAATTTATGGGAAAAAGGCAAGTTTAAGCTTAATATGAGAACAAATGATTTAGTTCAACAAAAAACATTATGTCAGGTGGGCCATTCTTAGAGTAAGGACTGAATGTAAATCTAGATTGTGTCTGAAAACACATTGTGTAGTATTTTATAGGCAAGAAATAAAAGCTAACACAAATGGTTAGCTTATCATAATGTACTAGATTTTTCTCAAAGGGATTGTAAAAGAAAATCAAGGGAAGATTTGTCAACAAAAGGATATAGTTGTCAATAATTTTCTTATACACAAATCTCAAAAAGGTTTAAAATGGATAAAAAACTTTATGATTTTGAACAATACAAGACTGAGTTTGAAATAAAATTATATACAAACTATGGACATGCTATTGCTAAAATATATAAACCTTTGTTGAAATATTAGAGGGAACAAGTGAAAGAATGTATGATAAAATGGGCTAAAATGTTTGACTACAATATACAAATGGTTCAGTGGGAAAATATGTGGTTGAAAGAATTTAAATTTATATTATTTTCTGTACCTAAAGAAATTTTTTTATAAAATGATATATCTTTGATATTTGTCACCAAAGAAATTGTATAGAATGTATATAGGTACTACAAATTTATGCTGGAAATGTGAACAACGTGGACATTTTATCATGTTGTTGTTGTTAGTTGCGAAGTCATGTCTGACCCATCGCGACACCATGGACAATGTTCCTTCAGGCCTTCCTGTCCTCTACCATCTTTTGGAGTCCATTTAAGTTGACACCTATTGCTTCAGTGACTCCATCCAGTCACCTCATTCTCTGTCGTCCCCTTCTTCTATTGCCCCCAATCTTTCCCATCATTAGGCTCTTCTTCAGTGAGTCCTTCCTTCTCATTGGCCAAAGTACTTGAGTTTCAACTTCAGGATCTGGCCTTCTAAAGAGCAGTCAGGGTTGATCTCCTCTAGGACTCACCAGTTTGATCGCCTTGCAGTCCAGGGGACTCGCAGGAGTCTTCTCCAGCACCATAGTTCAAAGGCCTCAATTCTTTTGCACTCAGCCTTTTTTATGGTCCAATTTTCACAGCCATACATTTCAACTGGGAAAACCATGGCCTTGGCTATACGTACTTTTGTTGGCAGGGTGACGTCTCTGCTTTTTAGTATGCTGTTTAGATTTGCCATAGCTTTCCTCCCCAGGAGCAAGCGTCTTTTAATTTCTTGGCTGCAGTCCCCATCTGTGGTGATCTTGGAGCCCAGGAAGATAAAATCTGTCACTACCTCCATTTCTTCCCCATCTATTTGCCAGGAATTGAGAGGGACGGATGCTATTGTAGATCTGTGAAAAAGCAAAAAAAAGGAGGGTGTACAAATAAATACATTAAGTCAGAAGATCTTAAAGACTAATATATATTGAAACCAGAGACTTTCTTTTGGGACTAATAGATAAGCAACTGGATTACTATATACTCAAAAATAAAAAACACCACCCACAGCAGAGGAAAGGTGCTGAAGATTATGGAATTATGGAGATGGTCAAATTGATTTCTTTGATTAGAGAAAAGACAATATCTACATTTATGGCTGACTGGAAACCCCTTATAGATTTTTTTGCATGAAACAGAAAAAAATGCATTTATGATGTGGTTTTGATGATTAGGGGAAAAAATAAATAATGGAAAAAAGTGAGCTTTCTTTTGTAACCATAGAATAAGAGTTAGTTTTATATTCATTTTTATATTTGCTGCAAGGGAAATCGGATGCTTCTTCTTTTTATTTCTTTTATCTTTTCTCTGTTTTTCTTTCTTTTCATTCAACGCTAGTTTATAGACTATAAAAAAATATATAGCAAAACTATTAGTTGTAGGTTTTTATGTTCTTTTAAAACTTTAATAAAATTTATCTAGAGATTTTTAAAAAATCCAATGGGAAGAGTTCCCATAGGCGACCTTCCTTTGCAATTTTAGTTCAATCCTGGGAAAACTAGGTGGTTGTAAACCAGTGTTTCTCAACCTTGACAATTTTAAGGCATGTGGACTTCAACTCCCAGAATTCCACAGCCAGCATTGCTGGCTGTGGAATTCTGGGAGTTGAAGTCCACATGCCTTAAAATTGTCAAGGTTGAGAAACACTGTTGTAAACTGTTGGAGAAATTATTGTATAATTATTTCCACAAATCCCTTGTCCAACTTGTATCTTAAAACAAGAGCAAGGACACTACCCTTCACCCATAAGAATGTTATCACCTTGAATAAGTACTAAAAGAAAAAAAAATAAGGGAGAATTTTCCTTCACGGTGCTAAGTCCAGGTTTTCCCACAACTAGTCCAGTATATTTAGCACTTTATGAGAAGGACTAATGAACCAGCTTCAACTTCCCAGGTGTTCTGTCAGCCTTTAGAGGGTGCTGACAGTTTGATTTACTGCTGCTCTTATTTATCTTTCTCCTATTCTTTTACCAGGGTGCAAAAGGAGAAAAAGGTTCTGCAGGATTTCCTGGAATACCTGGACGGGTTGTAAGTTTCGGACAAATTTGGGGAAGTTCTATTTGTTTTTCCTTTTTCCTGCACACTATTACAACTGGTGAGTAACTCTAGCTCTATTTATAAAAACAGGGAGAACCTGGGAGGAGTGGGAAGGATGGCATACCTGGAACTCCAGGTTTTAAGGTACCCAATGTATTGATTTTGTGCAAATATTGTATTCATAACTGGAACTGAAATTAACTTCATGTATATGCATGACGTATACAAGTAGTTCTCGACTTACAACCATCCATTCAAAGTTGCAGTGGCCCTGGAAAAAGTGACTTACGACCGTTTTTCACACTTCCAACTGCAGCGATTCACTTAACCACTGTATCAAGTAAGGTTATAAAATGGGGCAAAAGTCACTTAAGAACCATCTCACTCGGCAACATAAACTCTGGGCTCAGCTGTGGTCGTAAGTCGAGGGCTACCTGTCTGCATATACTTTTTTTCTACTTTATTAATGGATTTTTATTTTATTAATCTTATTCTTGTATGTTTATATTTCTTTTAAACAAATGTGCTGCTTAAGTGCAGCTACAAATAATTAAATGAGACCCAATGGACTCAATGGACTGGGAATCCATCTGGCAGGGGGAACAAGGAAACAATTCATAATATAAAAAGGAGGATCAGACAACTCCCTCCCACTTACACCACTCATCGTCTTGACCTTCTAATAGGACCCTGCAAGGGTTCCAGACATGTGTATGTGCTCTTAAATTTGTTCCATGGAAGGGAGGACTAACCTAATTAAGACTGTTCAATACATCAAAGCTGATCCATGCTTATTGGCATGCAGATATAGTATAAGCATGGAGACTCTTGCAGTCATCAGCTGCATGATTTGGCTCTCTTCCGTATGTTATTATTGCATATGGAATTCTTAGGAAGTTTTTGCTGGCTTTTTCCATCCCTTCCCTTGCTACATACCTTGGAAATTCCCTAATCAAGTTAAATTGCTCTTTCTGGCATGTAGCAGTAGCTCTGGCAGCAATAAACAGGGAGCATAGGAAATTTGAAGAGCAATGCAAGTGCATCGTCTGGATGTCCTTCTTGCTATCTGATTTTTTTTAAAATCTGATTTTTAATATATGCTTTTGTTTAAATACATTGTATTCTTTCAGTCATTCCTAGGTTATAATACAGAGCAGAAAGAAGAAGTATAGCATTTATTTCTGAATAGTTTGAAATTATAAAAGCAATGATCTCTTGTTTCTGCTGGATTAAAATGCTGCCATTTTGCCTTTTAACATCTGCTGTTTATAAAACATCATTTCACTTGGGTTTTTTGTAATCAAAGTCAGAATATTTTAACAGGAAAAGCATCTTTGAACATTTCTTCTGGAATCTTCTTCAGTTTCTTTCCAAAAGTTCAGAAATAGGGTTTTTTCCCCCCCTGGAAACAGTAAATACTCTGCTACACATCAAAATCATGTGCTCCATAAGTTGGCCTCTGTAGACCCATACATTTGCAAATACTCTGCTGTGGAATAATCAAGGTCCCACCCTTCTTTGTGGAAGAGTTTTCTTTGTCATTGGGAACTCTTTCCATTGGATGGGAAAACAAATATTTATCCATTTTCCCACTGTTCATAATCCCCCTCTTTAAGAAACTCAGAGCATGAGTACTTCAGAGTTAGACTTTCTTCAAAATGTAGGGAATGGAGATTATATAGTTATCATATCCACAGGTTACACTAGTTTTTAAATTCCCAGCCAGAATGGATCATAAGAATAAAAGTAGCCCTCAACTTACAACCATAATTGTGCCCAAAATTTCTGTTGCTAAGCAAAATATTTCTTAAGTGAGTTTTGCCCCATTTTACAACTTTTCTTGCCATAGTTGTTAAGTGAATCACTGCAGTAGTTAAGTTAGTTACCTCCGAGACCGTCTTCTGCCACAGATTACCTCCCACCGGCCGATACGCTCCCACAGAGAGGCCCTCCTCAGGGTGCCGTCAACCAGACAGTGCCGGCTGGCGACCCCCAGGGGGAGAGCCTTCTCTGTCGGAGCACCCACCCTCTGGAACGAGCTGCCCCCAGAGATCCGGGTGATTTCGGATCTCCCCTCCTTCCACCGCGCCCTCAAGACTTGGTTGTTTCAGCGGGCAGGACTGGCCTAGGGGTATTTTAAATTGGTTTTAACTAAATTTTAGTAGAAGCGGCCTATTTAAATATTTATTTTTAATTATTCTCTTAAATTTTATATTTTGTATTTGTATTAAACTGTTTTTAAACTGGCTGTAAGCCGCCCTGAGTCCTCCGGGAGAAGGGCGGGGTATAAATATAATAAATTCAAATTCAAATTCAAATTTAGTAACACAGTTGTTAAGTGAATCTGGATTCCCCATTGACTTTGTTTGTCAGAAAGTCTCAAACAGTGATCACATGACCCCAGGGCACTGCGACCGTCATAATATGAACCAGTTGCCAAACTTCTGAATTTTGATTGTGTGACCGTGGGGATGCTGTAACGGTTGTAAGTTTGAAAAAATGGGCATAAGTCACTTTTTTCAGTGCCGTTGTAACTCTGAACAGTCACCGAACAAACTGTTGTAAGTTAATGACTACTGGTTGACTTACAACCTTTTGTTTAGTGACGGTTTGAAGTTACAACAGAACTGAAAAAAGTGAGTTACAACTGATCCTTGCACGTATGATAATTGCAGCATCCCCAGGGTCACATTTTCAAAATTTGGGAGTTGGCAACTGGCACATACTTACAATGGTTGCTGCATCCTGTGGTCATGTGTTGTGATCTTCCCAGGCCGCTTCCAATAAACGAAGTCAATGGGGGAATCCAGATTTATGTAACGACTGCATGAGTCGCTTAACAGTTTCGGTGATTTGCTTAACTCTGGCAAAAAAGGTTGTAAAATTGAGCGTGGCTCACTTAACAACCACCTTGCTTAGCAATGGAAATTCTGGTCTGAATTGTGATCGTAGGTCGAGGACTTGTGCTGCTGCTGCTGGTGGTGACAGCAGTAGAGAAGTGGTTTGGTATTGCTGCCTTCTGGAATGCTTTTATTTATTCATTTATGGGATGGCCAACTCCTATACAATTGTGCACAGCTTATAACCAGGAACCTAAACACACACACACACACACACACACACACACAAATCATGTAAAAGACAAAACAGACTGGAAGAGTGAAGTAATCAAACTAAAACAAAATTAATTGAAGCAAGGGAGAAAAACCAAAGCAAAGCAAAACAAAATGAAAAGGGGGCTCCACACACAGTGCCTAAGGCCTGGGAGAACAACTAAGTCTACAGTAATGCCTGGATTACATTGAGACAATGGTTTCATGTGGATGTTAAATAGACAGGGAGGAACTGTGGGGCTCTTTGACATCCATATGTGAGGGACTGCAAGTGAAACCTCTCCCCATCTGTCAACACTGGTGGAAACTAGCCACAAAGCAAAGAGAAGAACCACTGATAAATTGGACCTCCCATCCCCAATTCAAAAGCCACAGGCAGATCAAGGAGCACAAAATTGGATACATTACCCACCTCCTGACTCTCCACCACAGATCGTGAATAAGCACGATGCCAATGCCATCTCCATACTAAATCTTACATAGCTTACATTTCTGGGATTTCTTGTTCATCTCCCATTGAAGTCCAAATTATGAGCTTTGGAAGGGTATGATCAGTCATGGTTGTTAGCTGCTGCTAGCTATTTTAGGGCAATAATGGCTTGAATCTCTATTTTGAGTGTGCCCAGACGTGCATTCTCAGTCTAGAGATGGGAAGGTCTGAAAAAAAAAAACAGAAAAATGGGGGAAGTTTTTTTTCCCTCCCACCCCCCAAATGTCTTTTCCCCCAGTTTTTCCGGTTTTTTCCCAGACCTCCCCATCTCTAAATTTCTCACACACATATATATGGAATGCAAGCAGTATTGAGCAACTCAGAATGATAGCATTGGGAAAATAATATGCTTGGATCCTCTTCTAAAAGTTGTCATTTCAAAATTTCAAACACAGCGACCATTTTTGTACTATTGTACTATTTCCTGAATTCTCTGATAAAATAGCCAGGCAAATTTTTATATATTTTCCTGACTAATCCCATGTATGGGCTCCTAATGCTTTCCAACATGAATCAATACTTGTTCCAGTTGCTGTTAATGCACTGGGTCATCGTTAGCTGACAAATGCAGCCAAATCAACTACCCCCCCCCCCGACTCTTTTGGAAAGGTATCCATATTTTGTTAGCTATGCCCTCTGGAGGCAGAAACCAATAGAGCCTCACACATCAGCACCGTTTTCATGTTCTGCTAAATGTGGATGGACTCTTGGTCTTTTCCAGAGATTTATTTCATAGGAAACAGGCCTGAATATAGATTTTGCATCATTGGGAAGATCTGTAACTAAATACAAGTGGAAGAATAAAAAAACAGCTTAAAGAAACATGTTGTGTAGCAGCAAGATTTAGCTTTGTGTATTTTACTGGCAGATTTTAGATATTTCCCATATATTGGTTGAGTTAAGTCCATGCTGTTACAGTTCCCAGTGTGCTACTGGAAATTTAATAGTTTCATGATTATTTCTTAACATTAAGGGAGAAGTTGGACAACAGGGTTCTACAGGACCAGAAGGAAGACGGGGGAATCCAGTAAGTTTTTCAATGACTTTTATGTCAAGTTCTTTATCTTTTGAGGTTGTTTTACTGACATTCACTTTTCCTTGTTAAAATCTATTTTTAAAAGTTGAGCATCAAACAGAATACAACCACATACCAAATCCTGGCAGCTGATCTTTTAATGTTTCTTTAAGAGATTAGGGAGGATTTTCTTCTTTGTGTCACTACTGTACTTTTCTTTTGGAGGAGCAATTACTGACATTCATCAACATGACTATTTCTTCCTTTCCATCTTAGAAAAGTAGTGCTTTCATAGGGAGCTTGTTGGCATAATGTTTTATATTGTTTATTTATTTAAAACAACTTTCTACTGCTTCCATTAAAAGAAGACTCAAAGGGGTTTATGATTAATATTTGGGGGCATTCTGAAGTCAGAGTTCTGAGGAATGGAAGCTGGGATTGATGTCTGCAGGACCCACCACTTTACGGATTAAAGTGATGAAAAGAGTCATCATGCCATCATAATGCAAGTTATAACTCTTTCATACATTTCTATGATATCTTAGCACACATATTAAAGGAGCAGGGCTTGGGTTCACAGTGCTGCTTTCATCATTTCCACCCAACCTCACCCTGGGGAGTATCGTTAACTAGCAGTAAGATCTGCATCTCAATTTATCCCCAAAAGTGAGTGGTGAGAGATAGACAGACAGACAGACAGACAGACAGACAGACAGACAGACAGACAGACAGACAGACAGACAGACAGACAGACAGACAGACAGAACGAACAATAAAGCAATGTCTGTCAGGAACTAAAGAATTTTGATCCAAACATCCTTGCAAGGTGCATAGTTTTTACCGTAGTTCCAAGTTTTTCAAAATTCTAACTTGCTAGTATTCTTCCTCCTAAACTGTGTCTGCTGAGCCCATGTTCCAGAGTTTCCTGGACCCTTCCATTTTTCTGCTCCACATCTCCATTTTTTCCTTCTTGGAGGTACTGTCAACATTTTATCAATTACTTTAGTCTCTGTGATTCTTCAATATCTTTTTAGTGCAGGTAGTCCTTAACCTATGACTGGCTGTTACCATTTGAAAGCATGGTAGACCCCCAAAATCTACTTACTACCTGGTTTCAAAGTGCCCATGTTGCCTCCACCATGGTCACATGACCCCATTTTGGGTGCTCAGCAACTTACCTGCATTTATGGCCATTTGCAGTTGCATGACCTCAATTTACAATGATTTTGCAAGAATTGGCATTTACTTCCCATTTCTGGCAAAAACCGCCCCATAGTGGACAATGGGTTCATTTAATGATTGCAGCGTTCGCTCAATGACTGTAGTGTTTGCTTAATGACTACTGCAAAAAACCCATAACGTTGGGTTTAGTCACCCAGTTTACAACTGTCACAACTTACGATCATATTTGCCAGGCTCAATTACAGTCATAGCCCAGGAAGTACTTGTAGATCTACCTTACACTGCATGTTTTACAGAAAACAATTTTTCTAGAGCAGGAGAGAGAATTGGATTGCAAATTAAAATTCTTCACTCATATGCCAATGGAGGATATACCCTGTTAATTCCACAAAGGACTTCCCCTAAGACTGCCTTTCCTAAAGCCAATGATTCATGAAATGCTCCATACAACTTTTATAAAACTCCCAGAGAGTGGCATTTTTCCCATTTGTAAAGCATCCAAACATTCTGTTTCCCTCAGTTATTTAACCATTGTATGGATAATCTGCTTTGAGTTAGTGTTTGATCAGAGACAGACATTCTTTATCATTTCGGTTAATGTAATGCTCACAAAAGCTAGATGTTATATGGTACAGATTAAATTGAATAAAGCCAGCAGTTTTAATTGTTTAGAAACATTACATTGAAACTTATATTTCATGTTTATTTTCCTATCTGTATTTACTGTGCAATTGTTTAATCTATCACCCATTGTTTCTTGACCCTATATATCATTTGGAATTTGGACAGATATACAGTTGTGGGGTCCTTGGTGCTTTCTGAGCTTGGTTGTTTTCTTGCAGACCTTTCATTACCTAACTAGGTAACATCAGTGCTAGCACTATAGCTAGGTAGCCCTGAAGATATTACTTACATCTACAACAAAATATCAGGGACTTAATAACCATTTTGGTCTTTGACACACTGATTTTCAGATTGATCCTCTTCATGGAGGAGCTATAGAGTCTAAAAATCACCATACACCTCATTTGTGTCATCAGCCAATAGCACAACATCATAAGCAAAACAAAACGTACATGAACATTTATACCCGCCACCAACATATTTCTCATGTCACTACAAGCATTCTTATTATTCATTTAGTTTATTCATTTAGAATATTCAGAAGTGTTTCAATGATGAAATTCTGGATGGTATATCCCAAAAGTAATTTTTCAAAAGGCAATTGGACTTTGTTTTTCCTTGAGGACGTTTTGCTTCTCATCCAAGCAGCTTTGACCGAATGGTGGAGAATGAAGGATTTATATTCCTTGCAGTCATCTGCTCGTTAGCACTCTTTCTGAGAGTTGTTGAGGCCACTTGAAGGTTTATCTGTGTCCTCAGGGTCACCTGAATAATGCAAATGTGTGTGGAACCTTCTTGGAACTGCTGAAAGGATTATATTGTAAACAGGAGATAGGTGGTGTCATATCCCTCCCCCTTTGTTGAGAGAGGGCTGTAGATGGCCTCTTTGACCTCTTTTTCAAACCAGTCCTCTGTCCAGAATGTGGACTTTGATGTCTTCAAAAGAGTGACCTTTGTCTTTCAAATGCAGATGAATTGCTGACTTTTGTCCTGATGGCTTTGCTCTCCTATGTTGTGCCATGCGTTTGTGAAAAGGTTGTTTTGTTTCTCCAATGTACAGATCATATAAGTACATGTCTCACTGCATTGTACTGCATATATCATGTTGCTCAGTTTGTGTTGCTTAGTATTTTACCCTTGGGGTGGACAATCTTCTGCCTTAGTATATTTTTGGGTTTGAAATGTGTCTTCCTTCCATCCTCCACCATTCAGTCAGAGCTGAAGAAGCTTCTTGGATGAGAAGCAAAACATTCTCAAGGAAAAACAAAGTCCTTTTGGACTTTTGGGACATCCATGACCTAGATGACTGAGAATCTCCATAGACATCTGGGTGGTATATCACAAAGCAGATATACCTTTCCACTCCACAAATTCCTTGAATCTGCTTTAGAACAGTGAAAAAGTTCACTCAAGTTGCAGAATACATTGTTAATTTGTTCAGATGAAAAGTTAATTCACTTTTGAAATTAAACAACAATTTCATAACTATGCTGAAGTATTTTGTATTTGTTATTCTAAAAAAAGAATTTTTTTTTAAAAAACCATGAGACTTGTTTGCCAGTATTTGACCAAATATCCACCCTTTGCCAGATGGTTTTAGACAGATCAGAGGAAGAAAATACTACCTATTTTAGAACGACCTTTCTTCCTAGAACTCCATGCCTTTTCTTCTATGTGACTTGCAGAGCATTCTTTGTTTAAAATTTCCATCTATAATTTTTGCCAAATGCTCTGTGCTCTGGTTGTTCTCCTGGCAGCTTTCTGTGTATCAAGGAATAAATGTTATGTAACAAGGAAATTTAATTTTGAACAGAAAATAAAAGGGATTTGCCTGTTAATAAGATCCACCCAGATGTGGAGTGATTCTTCCTTCTTTAATTTTTGCTCATAAAAGTATAGGTGTCAGCCACAGTGAACTTTCGTGTGGAGATACCATAAGAAGAATCAAAGTGAAGGCTATTTCTGAGCACAGTTTTGGTGGACATATATTATTTTTAAGCTGAAACTGAACATGATTGCTACTAATTTTTCAGCTATTCTGAGGCAGGCTTAAAGAATAGCAGTAACAAGAATTAACTGCCAACTTGAAGTCTAACAAAAGCTATTAGAAATAGAAATAGAAGTCTTTATTGGCCAAGTGTGATTGGACACACAAAAGGAATTTGTCTCCGGTGCATAAGCTCTCATAATACATACAAGCAACAAGTGACAATCATAATCATAATCATAAAAATACAATCATCATAAATCATAGATACAACACTCAATGATAGTCATAGGATACTAAAGCAATCAGCATAAATCATAATAGGATACTAACAAAAGCAATCAACATAAATCATGAGATACAACAAGTTATAGTCATAAGAATCTAAGGATATGGTAATATGACAGATGAGAAGGATAATAAGTAATACAGCCCTATTAGGTGCCTTCATGAAAAACGATATTCAGAAGACTGCATGTTTCAGACTGTGCATAGCTTTTCCTTGTTGTAGTGATAGGTTAGCCAGAAAATATTTTTTAGATAAATATGAGTGCCAGATTGCTATTTTGATAGGACTTTTTATTTATTTATTTATTTTAAATATGGAACGCTTCACGAATTTGCGTGTCATCCTTGTGCAGGGACCATGCTAATCTTCTCTGTATCGTTCCAATTTTAGTATATGTGCTGCCGAAGCGAGCACTTGATAGGACTTTTGATTGATGGATTGATTGATCAAGTCTATTTCAATTCTTGAAATAGGCCACATAAATAGACCTTCTAGATCGGATGGACCATTCAATTCTAATAGTGATCAGTTTATGTTAGTTTTCTATTTATTAATGTATAAATCAGTCCATTTCAATAAGTAAAGAGAAGCCCTCCAGATGTCTTAGGCTTCTACTCGTATCACCCAAGCAAAATGGTTGGAGAAGTCTTGGGACCCCGATATATGAAAGAATGTCCATCAGTCACATTCTTCCCATCTGCGATTTCTGTTACAAATCTAGTTGTTTTCAATGCAGTGCTGGTCTCTCCAACAGCAGTATCATAAGATATCAGTATATTTAGCAGTACAGCATTTGAAATCTATGTGCATAAGCAAAAGTTGCACCAGCTAATAGTGATATACTGTATGGTCTTTGTTCCTGAATGCAGTTGCAAATGTAGAAAGTAGGGGATGCCACTTTTAGTATATCCAAGTATACTACACATTTTAATTAAAATAATAAATTCTGTTCTTTTAAAAATATTGCCTTAAGAATTTAATTACTATGTGTTAGACCTTTGGAGGCAAAGTGTGCTTGTAAACTCTGCACACAAATGTACTTCCTCTGCTTCTTATGATCAGCATAATGTGATAGGTGAGGTCTAGATTGAAGATCCCCTTGTAAAATTCAGCATGTGGCTGTTCTTGGCTGCTAGCAAGTAAATCATATGATATGCTCACCCTTGGCAAGAACTGTTGGTTTTTTTCATGTGGCTTCCAGTAGCAAAGAAAACTGGCAGCTTCTGTTTGTGGTATGCAAGTTGTGTGATGAAGTAACTTCTGCTAAGGTTAAATGATTGTGGGTGCCATGAGCCTTGGTGGTCATTAAATGAGTCACAGCCACTGTGAATGTGGAGAGTTCTGTAAACTCAAACCAGCCAAGCCAAAAAGCACAACTGCATTTAGATAGTCAGGGTTTTCCAACAGAGACACCAAGTACTTTTCTGAATGTTTTCTTGCCAATGCTTTTTATGGCGTAGGAGGAAAGGGTCATAACCCAAAACTTGCTACAATGAGGATGGAAATTAGATTTTCTTTTTTTTAAATAAAGACCTCATTGTTTTTTGTTATTTTCCCAGAAAATAACTCAGTCCAAAAATAAAAGCTGTTTTTGAGATGAAACATTTTTTTCTTAATATTTTACAATATCCCTAAAATAAAACAGAAAAAAAAGAAAGCAGAGAAAGTTTCATGCAAAAATATTCTCTTGAAAGAAAGATTAGTATCTTGCAGACACAAGGAACATTATTACATTGAAAGAAAATAATTTAAATCAATTCAAAAATACTTTTGAAGATACATTATGCATAGTGATTCCATAGTTTTTATTTAATGAGCTAGAAGCCCAGGATAGAAACAGCTATGTAAGTTTAATGCTTCATAAGAGTAATTATGTATGTGGTTAAAGATCCAGATCAAGAATTTTCAGATGCTTCCCTCTGTGCATTGTTAAGTCATGCTCAAGAATCAGTCAAGAATTCTAATTTCCTCTGTTGATTCACAGCTCAAAGATTACAGTATATACCATGAAAAGTGGTATATACAAATATAATAGGTGATACTGCCAACATGCAGCTATTTCTAACCAATGTTCATGATTATGTTTCCTTATAATGGATAGTCGTTCACACATAAATATGTACTTACAACTTCTGTTTCAAGTCTGATGTCACAGTGGGATATGAATGCATAATTATCTCCATGGATAATTAAAGAAGGAATAAAGAGCCTCAAGTGAGAAACACAGTGGTGCTTCTGTTTAATATGCTTTAATTTATTTTTCCCAAGGGAATTCCTGGGATCCCTGGAATTCAAGGAATAAAAGGAGATAAGGTATTTATCAGGATGTAGACTTAATATAGAGACATTTCCTGTTTTTTTTTTTGCTTTAAAATATTACTGCCACAGTGTATTCTATAATAAATTAAATAATGTTTTATTTTGTTTTTTAAATTTATCATAGGGTGAAAGTGGGCTGCCAGGACAAGAAGGAACAAAAGGATCGCCAGGGTTACCTGTATGTTTTTGTTATTCCATATTTTTTGAAGTGGGTATGGCAAAATGCCAAGGTTATAGGAATCATGGACCTGAAGAAAATCACGCTACCCAGTTCCGTATTATACTTTCACAGCAACTATAAAATCCAGAAGTCAATGTCCGAATGAAATGAAGACAATGATGGAATGAAGACAAAAATGCTAGTTTTAAAATAGAGAAGAAAACCAGTATAACTTCATCAAAACAAACTAATTATGCTGCCGATGCGCTGTCTTGAATTAATGCATACTGAATACTACATGGAAATTGAAGTTAAATGCTTTTTTGAAAGGGGGAGACTATTCATTGCCTTGAGGATCCTTTCAAATGTTCTGTCACTCACTCATTAGGGAACTTGAAAATTATGATTCTTTCCATCACATTGAACTGTTTTATAAGAAGGAGGCGCCTCTGTTCTGACCTGTTAATAGCTTCCACAAAATGATTCTCTTTCCAGAATGGATGGTACGTTAATTTTGAACAGATGGTGGCTGTCACCAATGTAAATTCAAAGTGATGGGTATTCTTCATGTAGACATAGCTCCATTTTAATAAAGAAATATTTTGGAAGAGGCTTCATCTTTCAACTGTAGATTTAATCTCAGAAAGTACTATAATAGTTGGGGAGCTCAGTCAATGAAGGATTCTCTATTACTAGAGAATCACATGATAAACATCAGGAAACAAAAAGCATACAATGGTTTCACATGGTCCCTTTTCCCTTTGCAAAATATTCTATTACCCCTCTTCTTGATATTTGTGCTGGTATAAGATTATATATACACAAGTCAGGCTTTCTATTTTGTGGTGACCACCATAAAGATAGATTAATCATCTATTTTAAGATTGCCACTTAAGCTTTTTCTCTGCCATTTCAATAGCAGTTTCCACTTAGTCTCTGAACAAAGACTTCTTACTGCAATCCCCATCTTTTCCTGCCTATTTGAATTTGTATTCTGATCCCTGTGATAGGTTTACCAAATAAGCAATTTTTGCCTTTTGTTGAAAAGGTTCATGAACTCAATGCATATTTTAAAATCAAATATTTAGCTTTAGGTTTCAGTTTAATTATTGTCACTTACCACATTAATAATAGCAATCCTCTGGTTTACGTAGAAGTTCTCACATTTGAATATGTATGTGAATGGAAGATGTGAATTAAGGCTGCGCCTGATCTCTGTTTGCTTATTTATATTTATCCTGTGCTTATCATTATCTCTGGAAAGAAAAGGTCCTTTCCTAGTCAAACTAAGGACAATGCCAGTGCATATATTGTTGTTGTTGTTGTTGTTAATTGCGAAGTCGTATCCGACCCATCGCGACCCCATGGACAACGTTCCTCCAGGTCTTCCTGTCCTCTACCATCTTCTGGAGTCCATTTAAGCTCACGCCTACTGCTTCAGTGACTCTATCCAGCCACCTCATTCTCTGTCGTCCCCTTCTTCTATTGCCCTCAATCTTTCCCAGCATTAGGCCCTTCTCCAGTGAGTCCTTCCTTCTCATTAGGTGGCCAAAGTATTTGAGTTTCAACTTCAGGATCTGGCCTTCTAAAGAGCAGTCGGGGTTGATTTCTTCTAGGACTGACCGGTTTGAACGCCTTGCAGTCCAAGGGACTCGCAGGAGTCCTATCCAGCACCATAGTTCAAAGGCCTCAATTCTTTGTCGCTCAGCCTTTCTTATGGTCCAACTTTCACATCCATACATTGCAACTGGGAAAACCATGGCCTTGATTATACGCACTTTTGTTGGCAAGTGCATATATACAGTTTGTTATATCTTCATAAATATCATAGGAAGATGATGATTCTTATCATGTTGTAAGCTGCTTAGTGTTGGCTTGCACTGCGAGATCAACAGCATATATATTTGATAAAACTAGAGTAAATAAATAAAGAGGAGGAAGAATGTGAGCTTGCAATATAGACCTAAACTTTTATTCTTGGTCAGATCAATATTATTAAAGCAAATTTGCACTACACAAGACTGGTATCCTGGGATTATTGAGCAAACCTGATGCTTTCAGATCAGAAGATGAAGTATATTCCACTGAAATAAATCAAGATGGAATTTACTAAGTTGGGTTGTGGTTTGGGCTGTAAATTCATTAATATAATGTAAAGCAGTGATAAATAAGTTTAGATAGTCTGCCAAGTGCTCCTGCTATATTAGCACTAACAGTATTGCCACTTTGTGGCAATTTGCATGTGGGTGACAACATTTTTTTTAGAGAGAAATCTGGTTTTGGGATGTCCAGAATTATCTTTTAAATAATAATAATAATAATAATAATAATAATAATAATAATAATAATAATAATAATAATAATAATAATAATAATAATAATAATAAAAAGTTGGAAGGGACCTTGGAGGTCATCTAGTCCAACCCCTGCTCAGGCAGGAAACCCCATACCATTTCAGACAAATGGCTATCCAGTCTCTTCTTTAAAATTTCCAGTGTTGGAGCATTCACCACTTCTGGAGGCAGGTTGTTCCACTGGTTAATTGTTCTAACTGTCAGGAAGTTTCTTCTTAGTTTTAGGTTGCTTCTCTCCCTGATTAGTTTCCATCCGTTGCTTCTTGTCCTGCCTTCAGGTGCTTTGGGGAATAGCTTGACTCCCTCTTCTTTGTGGCAGCCCCTGAGATATTGGAACACTGCTATCATGTCCTCCCTCGTCCTTCTCTTCATTAGACTAGACATACCCAATTCCAGCAGCCATTCCTTATATGTTTTAGCCTCCAGTCCCCTAATCATCTTTGTTGCTCTTCTCTGTACTCTTTCTAGAGTCTCAACATCTTTTTTACAACGTGGTGACCAAAACTGGATGCAGTTTTCCTTGTGTGGCCTTACCAAGGCATTGTAAAGTGGTATTAACACTTCAAGTGATCTTGATTCTATCCTTCTGTTAATGCAGCCTAACACTGTGTTGGCTTTTTTGGCAGCTGCAGCACGCTGCTGGCTCATATTTAAGTGATTGTCCACTAGGACTCCAAGATCCCTCTCACAGTTATTACTATTGAGCAAGGTACCACCTATACTATACCTATGCATTTGGTTTTTCTTGCCTAAATGTAGAACCTTCCTTTATTCACCATTGAATTTTATTTTGTTAGATAACGCCCAGTGTTCAAGATATTACATACATATCCTAAAATCTTAAAGTTGGGCAGGCATCCTTTTAGGCTAGGATACATTTTGCATTTTGAAAGCATGTAGTGGGCACATCCACAAAATAGTTGGTGTAGGAGGGTTGCTTTGCAGTATGGTGGTTATGGTTTCTCCAAGATTGTTTCTGCATGTGCAGGAAGCTCCATATCAGTTCGAATAGTACATTTTCCAGATCATTTATTATGATTATTTTTCAGTCTCTTCTTCCCATGATAGGATCCGTTTACTTTCAAGTGCATGGATTATTTAAATATTTAGAGTGGCTGAAGAGAAATCAGCCAGAATATAAAGTGAAATTTATTTGCTGTTAGTTACAGTAGTTGTTCCAGAAGAGAATGGATGAAAATCTTGTTGACAATTCATGTGTAATACCTGAGGGAAATTTAATCAGGAATAAGGAATAATTATTCCCATTATAGTTGCCAACTTCAATCATTTATTGTTATATTTGCCATTAGTAACTCCAGCTTTGGAGAAAAAAGCAACAATAATTTGTTATACTGTATTTCAAAAACTTGCTTCATTCTTGTTGCATCATTTTTGGCTACTTTTGTAAAAGTGCTACATCATGAGTGGGGAGCCAGGGGACTTTCAGATGTTGCTGGATTATATCTCCTAGCATCTCTTGTGTTTTGTAGTGCTGGCAGGGGCTCATGGGAGTTGGGATTTAATAGCATTTGAAAGGGTACAGGATATTCATGTCTGTGCTCTATACTGTGTAAGAAAAACCTATTTGCAAAGAATATCCCCCCCACCCCCAAAAGACTTTCTTTAAACTTTCTTGACTTAAAATATGGGATTGGCCCTTTTGATTTTGAACATGTGGAGATTCTTGTATTAGTTTTCTGCGTTCTGCAGGGTTTGATTTTTTGGGGGGTGGGGAGGCTTTTTGTCTAGGCTATTAACGAAATCAACCTTGGAAAAATCCTTTTTCTATCTCCTGCTATAATTCTTTCTCTCTCTTGTTGGCTTTGCCAGTGGCTTATGTCAGACTAAATGCTATTTGGTTTATGGTAAGCAATATTACAAGATTATATATATACATTTAATACCAGGCTTTTCAAATGAACAAGAAATTTATCCTAGGCTGGCTTATTTCATAGGCATTGTGACTAGGCCGAAAAGGTTAAATCGCCCTACGATTCCAGTGAAAACAGAATTATTTGAGCACCTTGTGCTTGCCGTTAATTTTAAGAATGTAGTTTTGATAGTCTGTTTAGTATTATGTCTGGCTTGAACCTGAGCCATACATAAAGCACCAGTTACATGCACACTTGATCTATTATAAACAGAGGATTTTTCAAGCAGAGGCTTGAAATAGGCTTGCAAACCCTGACTGTTTGAATTCATTGTACTTAATGCTTGGGCAGATATAACGTAAACACTGTTTATGGGAAAGGAATAGGAAAGAGAGCAAGGGAAGGAGCGAACGTGTATCCTCTGTGCCAGTTTATCATTTGTACATTTTATAACTGTTGGTAATATTAAATATTTATGTTCTAACCTTCCTTAATTAATGGATCATTGCACTTAAGAGGCACTAACAACTATGTAACTTTAATTGGCCCTTGCAGATGAAGAGAGAGAAAATTAATCATGACTTAGTGGAGTTAAGCCCAAATTTCTATTGTGATTGCCAAAGTCCAAACAGGATCCCACTGGTGCTGCTCATGTGGGAGAAGCCTCTCAACATTTTTCCTGGGCAAGCACTTCACACAATATATTTTGGGATCACTCTGCTCTTTGTTGTTTAATTTGGTTTCAGTGTCAGGTTTTAAGTCTAGTATTGATGACAATGCTGTTTACTCAGCTAGTCCCTCATCCACCTCTTATTTCTCTTTTCCATTGTGAGTAAATTTTTCCACTCTATTGAATAAATGGAAATTGTATACATATAAGGCAGAATTGATTCAGATGAACATGGGCTGGCAGAGTAGTAGAAATGCCTGGTTTTTTTAAAGCAAGCATATTAACTCTGAAAGAGCACTTCATCTTTTGGAAAGGCTTTTAGGAAAAGGGATTATCAGTCTCTAAATAATAAATATGTAAACTTTATATTTATTTGTATTTGAAAGGAATTAATGATAAATGTTCAATTGAAAGTAAAAAAATATAAGGCAAAAAGAGGTGGAATGCAGTGTAACACACTGCAATATATGCACATTTTCAATCTGTGCTATTCAAATGTAAGAAATGAAAGGGTTCACGTTAGAAGAAATTGTAATATAATCTGTATTGCTTATGTTCCATCCTTCTTAGTTTTAAAAATAGATTTTGAGGGTTGTTTGTATATGTCCGTTTTTATTTCTATTTCTTAGGGTCTTCCTGGACTTGAAGGATCATCAGGCTTACCTGGAGGGTCAGGTCCTAAGGTACATTCTTTGCTTTGACTTGTAAAAAAGAAAGTCTTAAAAATGTTACCCAAATTATAAGAAACAAGAGAAAAATCAAATATATGAAAAGTCTTCTGAACTCTAACTTAGTGAACTCAATATGTGGGATCACAGGAAGCTTGATACATGCAGAAAATACAGGACTTTTTAAAATTGTTTCATTCTATCCAAAGGTGAAACAGCAGTCCTTTCCTTAAATTAGAAGGGAGAGCAAGAGCTTGCACATCTGAATAAGTGAAGCTTCTTGTAGAAATCTTGGAACATTAAAGTCTGTGCACTGAAGCTTCTATGCCCATGCTCATTGTATGGGATTTTGTAAGTCCCATAAGCCCAGTACTGCAGTCTTTCAATGCATCTCCTTCATGTATGTAAGAAATGAAAAGGGAAGAAGTTGTAAGCTGAACTGTATCCATTCCCCTTTCATTCTCTAATATGTTCCTTTATTCTCTTACACACACCAGCACGCTCAGATACAGCCACAATTCATGATACTGCTCTAAATTACTTTGTGTTCATTACGACAGGGGAATTTCAGAAAAGCAGTAGCTCCAGAGAGGAAGAGTTGTAGTGATGTAGCATGGTTTATTCATTTAATTTGCCTCTCTAAATGTTTTGTTCAGTTTGTTTTAGTAACTCCATTAACTAGTTAAAGTCTCACATTTGCAGGGCAACAAGGGTGAACAAGGACCACAAGGGAAATCGGGAATTCCAGGTATCAAGGTAAATTTGACTAAGTTTCGGTGTGTTGCGAGGCAAGGAATTACATTCTTTGGTTAACGTGAAAAACTATGCTTGCTTTGTGTTCAGTGTTCATTTCACTCTTCCTGATATGAACTTGTGATTACTTAAATACTTAGCTTCTCCTGCTAATCAAAGGACAAACTGCCTGTATTAGCTACTCCTTATTAATAACAAAAAGTATGAACTATGCTTACGGAAGGAGTTCCCTTTTGCAGAAGCTCCAGGGATGTATATGTTCTAGGATGGAGGACCAGTATCCATACACAGTTTATTCAGGTCTTATACCTCCTTTTCCATGTTAATTTTTGTCACTTTTAACCATGGCTCATGTTGACATCTGCACAAAGTTTAACTAGAGCCCTTTACATCTAACGTTTGTGAAAGATAACCTTTGTTGAAAGTACAGATAATCCTTGACTTAGGGCCATTTGTTTAGTGACCCATTCAAAGTTATATTAGTGCTGAAAAAGTGACGTATGACCAATTGTTGCACTTATGACCGTTGCATCATCTCTGTGGTCACAGGATCAAAATTTGGGTGCTTGGCAACTGGAATGTATTTATGATGGTTGTAGTACCCCAGGATCCCATAACTGCTGTTTGCAACTTCCCCATCCAGCTTCCAATAAGCAGAGTCAATGGGGGGGATGACAGATTCACTTAAAAACTGTGTAATTAACTTAATGACCCCTGTGATTTGCTTAACCACCACAGCAGAAAAGGCCACAAAATTGAAAACTTAATAACGCCTCGCTTAGCAATGGAAAGTTCAGTCCTAATTGTGATTATAAGTGGAGGACTATCTGTATCTAGAGCTCCACTGCCAATTTAAACTTCTGTCTGTCATGGTTCGCTTGTTGGCGAAATGCTTGTAGCAGTTAGAAATGAGGTGATTTTTAAAAATTATTTAACACTGCAGTTCTTTTAAATGTTTGCATAAATTAAGTTCTAAAATAATTTTATCAGGATTGTGATAAAAGAGCTGTGCTTTTATGTAAACAATTCTGTTTTCTTAATGTTGATGGATATTTTCAGTATTCTGAGCAAAGGCAAGAATGATGAATGTGCTTATGAGTTTTCATCAAGAGTCTTATGTTTACAGTTCAATTGATGTCAAAATATCGCAGGGATTTACTCTGTGGTAGAAATATTCAGGAACCCTCCCCCCCCCGAAAGATATGAATCTTCTTCTCTAACAAGCATTGTGAAATAAGGATATGAAAGAAATACTTTGCTGGGGAAGTGGGACAGCTGCATACAGTATGCTCCATGAATAATATAGTGACTTTAATACCATGTAAAGAGTTTAAAGAGCCATTTCATTCATGCTCCCTCCTATTGTGAAGAACCTTTTCTTAAGATTTTGCATGACTGTAATGCGAAGGCCCAGGAAAAAAAAGAAGAAGCCCACAGTCATTACCACCCATATGCTTTTGAATCATATATTGTGTCCACAGCTTCACAAGAACAATGCATTTTCATCATGTGTAGTTTCCTATTTATGGAGTTCTTTTTGGTTACTTAGGGAGAACAAGGAAGACAGGGTGATTCAGGTGAACCAGGTTATCCTGGGATGCCTGGTCCTCCGGGTTTGAAGGTATGCCTGTTTTATTTATTTATTTATTATTATGGACCTGTATTTCCTTTTATAACAAAGCCCAAAGAATCAGTGAGCCTTTAGCTGTGAATTACCCTTACAATACTTAAGACCAGTGGTGGGATTCAGCCGGTTCGCACCACTTCGCCAGAACTGGTAGCTATTTTTTTGTTGCCCAGGCCCAGAATGGACTTCCGGAAGCGGCATCCACACAGAGAACCGGTTGTTCACATATTTGAAACCCACCACTGCTTAAGACCATTAGACAAAAAGTTAACTTGTAGTTACATTTCTCCCAATCAGAACCAGAAATTGCAGGACTCTTCCCAGAATACATGGTTGCACTGCTTACTTTTATCAATGAAAAGTACATTTAATTCAGACAATTCCCTTAACCTCTGATGATATTGTTTTTAATGTTCAGCTTATCTTCTACAGGTGAATATCCAGCTAGAATCATTTGTTTTGTCTGTATAATATCAATACAAAGGTAGAGATTAGTGGATTAAATTCCATGTTTGGCCTTCCTTAGAAGAGAAGAAACATTAGTTAATATTTATTAAATTACAACGGCATTGAAAAAGTGACTTGTGATCAGTTTTCCCACTTACAACCATTGCAGCATCCCCATGGTCATTTGATCAAAATTTGGTCACTTGGCACCGGCATATATTTGCGACAGTTGCACTGTCCCAGGTTCACGTGATCACCTTTTGTAATCTTCCCAGCTGGCTTGCAACAAGCAGTCAATAGAGGAAGCCAGATTCGCTTAACAACCACATGAGTCACTTAACAACTACAGTGATTAACTTAACAATTCTGAAAAAAAAAGTTGTAAAATGGGGCCAAACTTGCTTGACAATTGCCTTGCTCAGCAATGGGAATTTTGGGCTCAATTGTGGTTGTAAGTCAAGGACCATCTGCCATGGTTTTTAATTTGCTTTAGTTTAATTTCAACATTACTGTTACAAATAACAGTTTAACAAGAAATTGATTTTTATTTTTCAGGGAGAGAGAGGAAATCAGGGCGAAAAAGGCATCCAGGTATGCTGCTTTTTTTTCCTTTTTTTTAGTTATGATATAACTACGAATAATGCTTGCTTGATGTAAAGAACGTAAGTTTTGAAACTGCATAACATGTGAATCTGTGCTTTATTGTTCAGTCAGAGAAGCCATAGATTTTTTTAGGTTTCGTTCTCTGACCTCTGCTAGACAGAACAAAACTACCGTCCCAGGATCATAAATGTGATCTTGTAGAGTTAATTAAGCTGGTCAGCTTGTTAGCTGAGAGTATGTAGAGGATCCAATTGGTACAAATTTGTTATTTAAGACACAATCTAAAGTTAATATGACACATTAGCATTGTGCTTTATTGAGGTTTTAACACATAAAATATGAACAAGTTACATCAAAGCGCACACACACATACACATACATACATACATACATACATACATACATACATACATACATATATATTAATGAAAGTCCTATCTGATCTTACACCTGTGGAAATTTTTTCCCCGATATCTTTTTCTGACATTTCTTAAGCTGTTTTTACACCTTTGGCTTAAATATTCCTTAAAATTAAGATCCATTTAATTCTGCTGTCATGTTCCATTGTTTTGCTTCAGGTTTATAAATATCTGGTGTGGTGTGTATATTGTTTGAATCAATATAAATGTGATATAAAACAATGTACTGAAATTTGGACAACATAAATTTCACAGTTGGAATGTAAATAAGGGAACTTAATAATTCAAGCAATCTGTGAAGTCTGCATGTAATCATCCTTATATATTGAAATAAATGAATAAGTTTGTTAGGATCCAATTTATGTATAGTGTGTGGATATCCCATTTCACATCAGTAACTATTTTGGTTTTTTTTTCTTAAGGGTCATAAAGGCGAAGGAGGCAAAACGGGTACTCCAGGCCATAAGGTAAGAAGGAGAGATTATCAAGTCCCTTTTGAATTTCACAATTTCCTATATCACATATTTGTGTTTTTTCCATTCTTTTATCCTTAAACAAAGCTTGTCACCGATTGATTTTGGCAATTCTCATAAGGCTCTGGTTAATTTCTTACACCTGACACTAGAAATATTTTGGGTTGATGGACGTATTAGGAATATGCCAGTGGTCCTTGACTTACCACCACAACTGAGCCCAAAACTTCTGTTGCTAAGTGAGACACTTGTTAAGTGAGTTTTCCCACATTTTACCACCTTTCTTGCCACAGTTATTAAATGAATCAATGCAGATGTTCAGTTACTTACATGGTTGTTAAGTGACTCTGCCTTCCCTATTGACTTTGCTTGTGAGAAGGTGCTTGCAAAAGGTGATCACATGGCCCCTGGACAAGGCAACCATCATAAATATGAGCCAGTTGCCAAGTGTCCAAATTTTGATATGTGACCATGGGAATGCTGCAACGATCATAAGTGTGAAAAAAAGTTCATAAGTCACTTCTTCCAGTGCCATTGGAACTTTGAACGGCCACTAAATGAATTGTTGTAAACCAAGGACTACCTGTGCCAACAGCATATACTTAGATTCTCATAAATAGCTGCCATGGTGTAAGTAGTCAGTCACAACATGCATGTTTTCATCACAAACCAAACGGATGTGCTCCTGTTCTGCAACACTTAGACCACATTCCCTCCCTCAGGATGTTCTGTGCCAGACCCAACTTACTTTTGGGGCACCTGGGTGCCTTTTGCTTGCTGCCAACTAAACAAAGTTTACCACTTTTAACTTTATTTTTAAAACAAAAAAATGATGGTGGAGGCCTGCCCTTTTTTCATGGCTCCCCATTCTTTTATTTTTAATTAAAAGGTTTTTTTTTAAAGGATGGTAAAGCAGGGAGCCTGACTGGAACAATGGACACATTTTCCATGGAAACTAAACTGGACATCTCAGTCCCATTTCTTTCTGATCATTCTGGGAGCACCTTTTGGGTGATTACAGAGAGAAGAAGGATTCAGCTACAATTTTGTGCCTCTCGCTTGCATCCACAAAGGCAGAATATTTTATTAACTGAATTTTTCTAAGAAGAGTTTTGTATCCAAGTCTATATGTTTTGTTTTAAAAGAGGACATTTTCCCTGTGTTAACCTTGCAGAGTGATTTTTTTTCCTTGTTGGAAAAAAATAATAGTTCAAGTTGTTGGATGTCAGAATGAAAAAGATGGTGTTTTTTTTTAAATGTATGTTTTAATGTAAGTAAATTTAACTATGTGTCAGTAGAAATAAAATAACTCATTATGTGTTTTGCAATTTTGATTCCAAAAGGGATCTATGGGATTAAAAGGAGATAAAGGAGAGGTATGTGCTGTTTTTAGTTTTATGTTCATTTCTTTTCTGTTTTTCTGAATATTTCAGCTGCTAGTTTGAGCATGGAGTTTATGTTGCATTATTGAATATGAATTTGTCAGTTTGATTTTGCTTAACATAACTTAGAGCTCAAAGAGAAAAGACTCAAATATCAGTCAATCTCAAGCATTAGTTGTGTGGTATGTTTAATTACTATAGTCTACCCTAGAATTCCCAACTAGTGTAGCCAAAGAACAACTTTCTTACTGGGAACTGTAACTGTAATTGCAGCCTTTCAAGGTTTCATTACATTAGTCTCATTATGTTTGACCTTGACTCCTGATTAGCCTTGTAGACACATTTGTGTAATTTTATTGGCTTACAAAGAAGAGATTTACCTTTGTCCCCTGGGATGTTTTTTCACTTCCCAATTTAGCCTACACTTGCAGTGTTTCTCAACTTTGACAATATTAAGGCATGTGGACTTCAACTCCCAGAATTCCACAGCCAGGTATTTCCTTGCAAAGACCTATGCAAGAACTAGCCAAGCTTTATTCTGCTTAACTTTCAGGCTTAGAAAAGGCCATCTACCTCCATTAATGATTCTGAAAAAGTGAGAAGAATGTTAAGTAACTTTTTTTTTCAACTACATTGCAAACTTATTTAACAAGCACATTTTTCCCCCTTTGGTTTGATAAAGTATGTCTTTTTGCATAAAAGATTTGCTATATTCTAATGGTTGTAGTTTTGATATCCTATTTTTTCATTATTATTTTTTTTAAATCCCTCTTTACATTCAACTTTAGTTATTGTATTTGACTTTTATTCTTTCTCCCAAGAAGCACAAGGTTTGGATCATATTTCGTTTTCCCCCTTCTTAGTTTATTCTTCTAACCTTTAAATATTTGAGAAAGATTTGGTAAGTGGAGAAGCAATCTCCTCAGGGCTAGACCAAAGCTACATGCATACCTTATTAATGAATGTCTCATAGGTATTTTAAATCTGCTATTTTAGTTTATGAAATTTATACTGTATAATTATTTTACTTGGTTTCCTTTTTCTTCTTGTAAGCTATATTATATTCTTTGAATAGGAGAAGAGTTTTTCCAATCATAAGATTAGCATTTTTATCTATTTTAAACTATCTGAGCCAGAAAGTGAAGGTTGACATTAAAAGTCGTGAATAGGTTAGTGGCTTTCAGAAGGCTGCTACGCTCCAGTTCTTTTAGAGTGAGTCTTGCCAACTTTGTCAGACTTTTCTGTTTTTCGAAGTTAGCACTGTGTCAGAATTTCAAAAATTCAAAAAGCTGCTAATAAATCGCCAAGAGGAAACAATGGCCCTGCCAGAATGTCACAATCTGTATTGTAGTAGCTTAGCTACCGCTCCAATTTTAGTTTATTTTAGTTTAACATAGTATTATCTGAGACTGGCAGAAGACAAGAGGAGGGAACATCTTATGAGAGAAATGGTATCAGTTTCTTAAGGACCATCTCATTTCTGCAGATTTGTCTGGGGCTTTGGATTACTTCATTTTGCAAGGAAGTTAAAACAGGATGAGGATGTGCTACTAATCACCGTCACAATAGTAAAAGAAAACCTGTCTATCCAGGTGTTTGTTCCATTGTGGTTGAGGTGGATTTGGCGTTCTATTTAGAAAAAATATATAATTCCTGACTGATTTTCCAGCATAGGCTTAACTGTATTTTGGAGCCATTGAAATACATGAACTGAAATGCACTCAGGATCTGCATTTGACTGCACTCACAGTGACCTTTTGTAAGAAGAAGTGCTGAGGCTTCAGAATATTGACTCCTATGTTTGCATTATCATTCAGTGCGTTCTTCCTCCAAATTCCCAACCAAGTCTCAAACTCCCAAACATCGAGGAGGAAAACTTCCTGACAGTTAGAACAATTAACCAGTGGAACAACCTGCCTCCAGAAGCGGTGAATGTGCCAACACTGGAAGTTTTTAAGAAGAAACTGGACAACCATTTGTCCGAAATGGTATAGGGTTTCCTGCCTCAGCAGGAGGTTGGACTAGATGACCTCCTGGTCCCTTCCAACTTTATCATTATTATTAGTAGTAGTAGTTATATAAATTAACTGTCTTGAAACAAAATACAGTTCACCTTGCTTCTCTCTTTTTTATGTCATCTATGACTCTGGAATTTCACATTTTCCAGTTTTAATAACAATCTAAGCAGCATTTAAGCTGTTTATCATGACAAAGGGGGAAGAAAAAAGGATTATTCTTGCAATGGACTTTAACTTTTGGTGTAAAGCATTACACAACATGTGCCCCATTGGGTCATTAGTTCAGAGACATTTCCTTACTGAACAGAGAAGCAGAATGATCATGCAGGGGCATAAAAGTTGCATGGGAGGGACTTCTGACTTCCTGACATCTTCCCCATTGAGTTTCCCTGGGGGAAGCTGGCAGGAAGCATCAAAAATCTTCCTTCCTTCCTTCCTTCCTTCCTTCCTTCCTTCCTTCCTTCCTTCCTTCCTTCCTTCCTTCCTTCCTTCCTTCCTTCCTTCCTTCCTTCCTCCCTCCCTCCCTCCCTCCCTCCCTTCCTTCCTTCCTTCCTTCCTTCTCAGCCAGCTTCATCATTTACTTTGCTTGTGGGAAGCTTGCAGGGAGAAAGTCAGTGGGGAAGCTGGCGAGCACACAGGTAAGTGACTGCTACTGGGTGGGGGAGGGAGCGCAGGAGTGTGCAAAATCAGGAATGGTATGTAGGGCTGTGCAAGAGGTGCCATGAAAGTCAGAGAAGGCATGTGCAAAGCGGTGTGACTCAGGGAGGATATGTAGGGATGCAGAAAAGATGCCGCTCAGGTTGGAGAAAATTCAGAAAGGGTGGTGTGTCGTGGTATGTAAGAGGTGCTGTGAAGATTGGGAAAGGTATGCAAGAAGGAGGAGCAGTTGGGAGAGCACAGGGGGTAGTATGGGCCAGGAAGGGTACGCGAGGGTTCCTTTCTCTCAAATTCTCCTTTTTTTCCTTCCCTTCCCAGCAGGCATGTAAGTGGCTGCTGCTGGGTGAGGGAATAATTGTGAGAATGGCTGGGAAACTGTCACAGAATATTCAAAGTGAACATCATGTGACCACAGCAGCCGACAGGCAGAGCCAAAGCAGCAGCAGCCCAGCAGCACTGAAGCAGCTACAACCTTCCTAAATTTCATTTCCTCCTGAGTCATGAGTCTCTAAGTTAGGTCATTTGAGGTATCTTAGTTCAAAAAGGGTTGCCCTATGATGCACTGTTTTGCCCAATTAAAGGTTACGGAAAATAGAGTTTTAATACTATAGAGGTAAATATTAACATTAAGTCTGTAGCAGTAAATAGCAAGGCTGACTCATAAAAGTATGTTGCGTTCTTTATTTGTAAAATGGCCACACATGATGCTGAGAATGTTAATGTGCTGATAGCAAACTTCACTGTGGCTTAATACTGGGTTTTGTTTTTTTTTTGTGGATTTCAGATAGGTGAGAAAGGAAATCCCGGCTTCCATGGCAACCATGGCCAGAAGGGGGAACCAGGAGTGAATGGCTTGATGGGTTCTCCAGGATCAAGGGGAATGCAAGGAGAGAGGGGGTTTCCAGGAATCCCTGGATCAGATGGAAAACCTGTGCGTATATCAGTTGATGGGGTTTTTTTTTAAACTACTGTTCATTTCATGGTAAAATTGTGTGTAAACTTTCTAAAATATCTCTGTTCCATGCAGGGAAGAGGTTTTTCAGAAGAATTTATTCGGCAAGTTTGTGCAGATGTGCTGAGAAGTGAGTCCCCAGTCAACAGAACTGATTTACAGTAGAGGCAGGCAAGGCAGTCTGTTTTGAGATCAAAGGCAGTCTTGGAATTTTAGGAAGTGTCAAGGCACCCTAAAAATGGTTGCCATTGGGCATGGCCATTCATAAGAACAACATAATCACATAATCAAATGGGTGGTTTGTTCCACACTTTAAAAAACAAGCCATGCCCAAATAAAATTAACTACTTTGGTATCAATTTTTCTTCTCCTGTCTATAAGTATGCAGCCTAATGATACGCATCCTATTCATATCTGAACTGATACCCCTAATTGATATATTTTTTTTAAAAAAAAATAATTATTGATTTAGTGATTTCCTGTTTCTAAATGAATTGTTTCCCCACCTTGGGATAAATTTATTATGGCTACCAATTCACAATCATCCTATTTGTTTTAATGCCTCACCACTTGAAAGCAAATATCTGAAATAAAGTTTTGAAAGGATGCTATTGTCCCATTGTGCTGGATGCTTAGGGCTGTTATTGAAGCACACTACTTGTGTACAGAGGCTGCTCATTCTCCCAGTCCCCTGATATTTTCTGACTGGTTTCAGTGATAACTTTGCTGCTTCCCCACATTTGTTTGCTACTTTGCTGTAGACAAACATTTGGTGAGATGAAATTCAAAAAATCTAGATGAAACATATTTTAGCCGGCAGGTTGGAAGAAGTGCCGGCCACTCAGTGGGAACTGTTGAGGATACTTGTGATGGCACAGTTTAGGGGGCAAAACTGATGGGTCAGATTTCAGGTATAGAAGTGCCTAAAGTGTTTCTTACTCCCAGTTCATGGCTTACTAGCCCTACTTTTTCAATGGTGAGCAAAGTACATTGTGAGGTGAAATGTACTGTGCATGAAGCTTTCTTGCCAAAGTTGAGTAGCTTTAAATTGTTTAGCTAATGTAGGTCTAAATTTAACCTCCAAAATTTGAGGTCAATAGATGTTATGCTTTGATAATGAGATGTTTATGTTTGGTCTAAATATTTGTTGTCTGAATTCTTCTTAGCCCAGTTGCCTACTATACTTAGGGACAGAAGGTTGCAGCATTGCGATCATTGTCAATCTCATGATACCATCTCTGGACCTCCTGGTCCACCAGGCCTGACTGGTCCACAAGGTCCTCGAGGTTTTCCTGGTTTGCCAGGAAATGATGGCACTCCAGGTCTGGCAGGAATTCCTGGGCGTCCTGGATCTCGTGGTATAAAAGGTAATTAAATGCATTACAAACCCATTTCTATTTTAATCTGTTTTGAACAGGAATGGAATGCGAGCAACTTTCTCCAATTCACTGCTCTCTGGATGTACTAGACTCTAACAATTAGACTACTACTCCATCCTGATATTTTATAAATAGACGAAAGCTGCCAAATTCCTCCTCACCAAAGTAAAATTATTTATCCTATGTACCTTTGTGTGTGAATATATTTTTTAAAGAATAACTGTTTTAATGATCTCTTAAGCAAAGATAATTGCTTCTTCTGAGAGACAGACCCTGTTGGTAGTTTTAGGCTAGGGGAATCTTAAAAATACAAGGGATAAATGAAATTACTTACCGTATTTCCTTCTCCTGGATAGGGAGATAGGGGCAATTGCCCCTCTCCCCTAGCTCCGCACTCCCCGGGATCTGCCAAGCGCTGCTTGCCTTCAGGTAACCCTCTCTTTCTGTTGACAGGCCCTGCGGCCTACCTGAGGCTGCTCCAGCTTGCCCAAGGCCTTTGTTCTTGAAGTGTTTTCAGAGAATGCTCTTCTGTTGTACCTAAAATGGGTCCTAGCCTGGCGCCAAAGCCAATAAAGACACGAGGAATGGTATTTTCAGTTTCTTTTATTGGAGTACTCCAGCAAAAGGGTCACAGCCTCAAAAGAGCCGAGACCTCGAACAATGCACAAGCACAAATTTTATAGAGTTATAATTAAGAAAGTTAACACCCTAAGAATCTCACATTGGTTCCTTGACACAAGTTTCTTTTGATTGGATTCTTCTACTTTATCCTCCTTCTTCATACATCACATGTTTATGTTAATAAGCTTTCTTATCAAAAGAGGTGTGTCTTTTACTATTGTAATAAATAAACTAGGGTTTACCAAAGTTTATATATGCCTTAGCTAGCATCCTTCTAGCGTGTTCTTCTAACTTGCAACCTTCTTGTTGCTAGGCAGAAGTGTCGCACCATTTGTTACACTCATCGCAGCTGCAACTTTTTACTTCAGCAATTCCTTTAACAAATTTTCCTAATTCCAACCTGAGACGATCACTTCCATAGCCTGTGTAGCCTCAGAAAGCCACTCAAAAGCATGCCCTGCCCTCACACAATTTTCAAAGGGCCCGGAGGTTGTGCAAGAGCACACACCATTTGTGTGCAGTCTCCACAGCCTCCAAAAATCTTATGAGAACAGGCACGCTTTTGAGAATCATCGTCAGGTCTTGGTGAATGTTGGTGTGTCACTCAAACCTTGTGGGTTGTTGTTGGATTCACAAAAATAACAAACACAAGATTTTATTTAAGGACCAAGAAGAAGCAATTATGTGGCTAGAAAAAAAATAAAATGAGGAAAGCTCTTAACTAAACAAGGAGAGATAAAAGGGTCCAAGAATGAAGATTCTCTATTGAGAAAGCTTGCCAGAATTTTGAGCTTTTTTGACAAAAAAAGAAATGTTTTTTTGAAGTATTTTGGCAATAATTTGATGGTACTGTCATTTTATTGGGTTAGGAATATTTATTGTTGATGATTTTAATATTTTTTAATAGTGTAAGCCACCCAGAGTCAGTTCAAAGCGAGATGGGTGGCAAATAAATTTAATAAATAAATAAAATATATAAATAGGCCACAGCCCTTGTCACATGGGGCTTGGTCAGTCCTAAAGCAACGGCTCTTGTATGCTTTCTTGATTATTGATTCACAATATCCTTCCCTCAAAATCCCCCTAAGAACCACCTATCATCTAAATGGTTTATAGACTCAAAGGGTTCAGACCCAATAAGTTTTTTCTTGCCTTCAGTAGGGAATTTTCTGTTTGTGATACCCACATCTACAAGTCTGTGCTTTTAAAATTGTTTTCGTATCATTGCTAAAGCCATTGTCCAATCATACATACTTAATTGTTTGACTAAAGTTATGACAAGTTTATAATGGTAGTTTTCTAAGGCAAAATGTAGGCCTGGGGATCAGGTTATTTCTCGAACTCCCTCTTTAAAAAGTGGTTCCTTTGCCTTCTTAAGAAACAGAGTGGACATTTGTGTGCTTTAAATTGGGAGACTGGGAAAATTGCCACTTTTCCTTGAGGGTTGTCCTGAGCCAAGAAAGAGCAATTATGTGGAAAATGTCTGTCATAAATAGAAGGCTAATACATTGGAAAAAGTGCTTGCAATCTACGGTACACAAAG